ACCGCGCTAACCTACATATTATAAGTTCATACATATACATATACTACATACCTTCATAAATCATGAAAAATAATGCAACCTTTTACAATTGAAAACTAAACAATATGCTGTATGAAACAAAATACAACACAAGTGTTGAGACCACAGAAATTAATATCTGAAAGAATCTCAGCAAAAAATAAGGACGACAAGTATCGGTTACGCTAATGGGTCCGCGGGTTGCGCCATCTGGTGATTCAGATTCAGACCTTATTGTTCTGTAAAGTATTTTGTTCTACAAATATAGAAAAAAACGAAGGTTTAATGCTACGTTTCAATAGACTAAAATATAAATGTTACATGCGGGTTATCTTATTTCAGAATAAATTTAATCGAATGGAATATTCTGTATTTTGGTGAACTAAATGTCATTTTTTTAATGTGTACTTATATTATAAAGAGGTTGAGTTTGTTTGTTTGAATGCGCTAATCACAGGAACTACTGATCCGATTTAAAGAATTCTTTTTGCATTAGACAGCCCGTTTATTGAGGAAGGCTACGAGTATATGCTATATATCATCATGCTACTATCGAAAGGAGCGGAGCATAAATGTCAACAAATAGGTTCCATACAATATTTTAAAACTAAATATAACACACATACGAATGAACCCGAGCGAAGCGAGAGTAGTTCATAATATTTACATAGAAAAATACTCAAATGTTTATAAGCCCACATTTTACACATGCAAAGTATGCAGGATGACGAATTCATGATTCCTTCCATAATAAATATTCCTAACATATTCAAATTCCTGAGTTATTGTGTGTTTAATTTAACTATCAATAAATCGAACTTCATACCTCCGATCTTATAGGCAATACCAATGGAACATTTGCCACTGAGCCAGACTTTCAAAAATATACTCAAAAGTATAATATATGCTTTTAATAAATAAAAAGCAAATTCATCTACAAACGAATTATCTCAATACGAAGCACTTCTAAACAAAGGAGCTAACCAACCGTGGGCTAAGAGGCTCTAATGCACGCAGCGGATCTGCGCCACGGGATGGCAATTACTTTCGAAGTTATGTATTCTTTACGAATATATGGTCAAGCGTGAATTGATGTTTATAAAGCTGATAAGATTAAACTTATTTTTCTTTATCGAAGGTCTCGAGTTTGATAATGGTGTATGTGCACTGCTAGTGTATGGCTAAACAATGTGCGGCCAGTGTTATGTAGAGCCTATGTCCAGAATTCGGTCGAGTCGAAATAAATATTTGAAAATTTAAAATAAAACTATCTTTTGACTGTCAGTCTCTACCGTGACCATGACTGCTGTAAAGCATTCGAAACCTCAGAAAAATAAAAATAAAAGCGCGAGAAAATCCAAAAAACGTTTTATTTTAAAATATCAAATATTCGCGTAAGTCTAAGAAAGCATTAAGTATTGGAAAGTTAGCAGTGTTACACCATCGTAGCACAAGCTTTAGGGCACAGTAGATTTAACCATGGATTTTTTTCCAGATTTACGTCGGAATTTCAAACAGAAATAATAATACACTTAAAATATTTGCGAATTACATATATGCGTTATCTATTTATAATGCATTATAGTATCTATCGTAGAGGAAATCACTTAAAAATACTTTACAATATTTTTAAACAAACAGAGCTTAAGATCAAGGTTTTGTCTTGATTCCCTATTATATAAGACCACTGTCATCTTTTATTTACCTAAGTTCCATTGAGATAATTTAAGAGAGAGGAGAAATGAATGAAAATTTGCTAGGTCTCTGCTAGGATATAATTGGGTGACACGAATTTAGAGGCTTGGTTGAAATGTAGAAATTTTAAAATTTTACTGGTTAATAGACTTAATTGTTCCCATATTTTTTTTTTAATCTCCAACAATCGTATACTGACATCTTGTCTCCCATAGACGTAGAGAATGGACTGAGCAATACTTTCATGAAATTAATCACTTTCAACAAACAACACCTTTCTTTTATTCCAATTTGAATTTATAAATGGAATGTAAAAAAAATATATTATTATAATTTATTAAAAATTCTAATATTATAATGGATTGTAAAATGATTATATACAGAGATTTTGAAGATAGATATCCTCATTAATTGTATTTCAATTAATACAGAAGACTTCTGGCCGCACATTGTTTTGTCTCTGTCGCGTCTTTCCACCTTTTTAAGCATGACGGCTGGCAAAGAAACACTCAGTCCACCCTCTATATCTATGTCAAAACCCCAAGGTTCCTTCCATCAAATAAAAAATGACATCTATATTTTTTTTAAAGACAAGTTAGTACGATTTGACACTATTTATAATAAACAGATCTTTTTTTAAATGAAGAACTTTTAAGGTATATAACAATAAGCACCAGTTTTTTTTTTAACTAGGTGGGTAGAGGTGTGGGACTCACCGGCAAAGCCAGTACTACCCACTAAAACCCAACAAAACCTTCCGCCGTTTTAATGGGGCGTCGCAGGATCGCTTACGCATTCAACTACGACGCCCGACGGCAGGTCTGCCGAAGCAGACCACAACAACCACGGGGTTTCTCCAAGGTCCACTCTGCTATCAGAGAAGTACCAGGAGCAACCCGCATGGTACACCGCCCTCCGAAGAGGGCCACCTCCCACCGCCCACCGAAGTGGGTTACCTCCCTGTGCGTTTCTTGTAATATGACACAATATCAAATATTTAGTTTCATACGGAACCCTTATTTTATATGTTTATTAACTAGTGTAATGAATGTTTTCAGGTATTCGAAAATTGCCTTAAGTACTTTATTTCTAAAAGCCAATGAATTTTATTTAAGAGATCATAGTATAGGTACTCATATAAAACCAAAACTCGCACTAAGTGTAATCACTCACAAGTATAATACTATCGACTGTAAGATACTATTTTCCTAAAACCTATATCAACTTATTACCATTTTTTTAGTTCGCTTTTTACGCAGTTGGATATTTCATTTTTGTAATTGTAATAGATAATACAAATATTTTTTGTTACTCCCTAAGGAAATAAACATTTCATTCATCTTTTATCATATCAAATACTATATATACCTATTATACATTTTATTAAGAACTCGTTTTTAAATTAAACAAACTTAAAAAAACAGCTTTTATATTATTACTAGCGAATCACCCTCGCTCCGCTCGGGTTCGTCCATACTTAGGTACGTTTTAACGTTTAGTATAGATTTCATAGAGATTAGATATTTTCCCGCGGTAAAAAAATAACTGCACTCCACAGATTTTGATTAAATTTAGTATGATGTTAGCTGGTTATCCGGGTTAACATATAGGATACTTTTTACCGCGGTAAAATATCTCATTTCTAAGAAAAAATACAAAAACTGCATTGTAAGAGTATACTAATATGTAAAACCTAAGAATTTGGTTTTTGGTCATCTGAACGCGGGCGGAGCCGCGGGCATAGCTAGTATGCTATATGTAATCTTGTTACGTCGCTTAACGGATAAGGAGCTTAGATGGAGTCAAGCCAAGCGCTACGACGACTCAGCTAAATCTTTTCTTTTTATTTTGTCAGATTTAAAAAACAATTTGCCAAACTCTACTGTACATTATAAGTTGTGAGATAAACGATGTTACGTACAAGAAAATTGACTTTCATTATTTGTATATTATACAAACGATATTTGATTTCACGCCATGTGTTTCTCCCTATCCCTTGAAGATGTTTATATATATATATATATATATATATATATATATATATATATATATTTAAAGATATGAAAATTACTATACAGTCCGATAACATTTTATCCTTGCTGCGAGTCTAATTAAGTTCGACTGCACAATATTTTCCTTCGTTATCTTGTTCCCTTCATTTTAATTCGCTGTTTATGCAGTCGGAATTTTTTTATTGTATAATTTATTTATTTTTATTAATCATGGATCTCTTGCATTCTTGCCCTTGCCTTGAACTTTGAAGAACGTTGCTCTGTTCAAATTCCAATAAATATTTGTATTCTTTGAGTATATAAAAAACACTTTCAGTTTTTCCCTAAATTCCTAATCTTCCATATAACAACGTAAAGCATATGATTTTAAAATTGCAAAACCTTGCAAATGTGCCTTTATGTTATTTACAAACATTTCTTTGATCCGTATGCCACTATAAAACGAACCGTATGTGATTCTAAAAATTTTCTCTTCGTTTTCCCTATATTAAGCTTTCACAATTTACAGAACATTCTATCCAGGAAATGTCGGTTGGTTAAATTGAATATAAAATGCAGCTGACGAAAGCAATACCAGAATTTTACGCTTTCGAGAATAAATTCTTAAATTATCCGCTTTGAACTAAATCGGAAGTATTTAAGTTAAGCGTACGTGAAATAAGTGTATGAAAGTAGTGACAGACGGGAAACGAAAACCTAAAATCTTGGTAAATTGCTATTATACTTATACTTACATCTAGACAGATATAATGATTTAGATTTGAGACTAAAGTAATATCTTTAACTGTAAATACAACTATATGTAGAACGAACTCAAAACTCAGTCTGAATGACGAAATAAATTAACTTTTATTTTAGGTACTTTACCAAAAACCAAATTCTTAGGTTTTACATATTAGTACACTCTTACATTGCAGTTTTTTGTATTTTTTCTTAGAAATGGGATATTTTCCCGCGATAAAAAGTATCCTATATGTTGACCCGCATAACCAGCTATTACCATACCAAATTTCATCAGAATCACTCTAGTGGTTTTTCCGTGATGCGGTAACAGACAGACAGACAGAAAGACAGACACAAAAATTCTAAAAACTATTGATTAGGCCTCTGCATCGAAAATAATGTCTATTTTAATAAGATTTTCCAAAAAATATTTAATGTACAGATTCGGCTTAGAATTTTATTATATGTATAGTAATGCATACATACTTATAAAGTACTTTTCATTTAATAACATAAAACAAGATATAATTTTAAAACATTTATTCACGATTACCCAAAATGTATATGAAAAACTTTATACGCACAATAATCCACGAGAGCTAAGAAAAGTGGATAAGTGATTTTTTTGTTGTATTGTATTGTAAGAAAATAAGCACCGACGGCTGCTCCAGCGGTATACCAGCCCCAAATTCTGTCATTCTGATGAGAATAAACACACAGAGACACAATATTACAAGCGATAACTATATTTCCTAAATGTGGATTATCATTTCCCGCCAACGCCATTGCGAAAGGAATTAAACCGGAAACAAGATGGACGGTGCTCAAGGTAGAATCTCCACGGTAAAGGTCCGCATTTAAACATGGTAAAGCCAAATAGCGAGTTGCTCGATAACTTATAGTGTAGGGACTTTTAAAATCATTATTGAATCTTCCACCTGTAAATAAAAATAAAATATTTTTAATATACAGACAACAATGCAGAGATATCACAATGTTATTTTAGAATTATAATTTTAATACGATCTTACTTTGGTAATGCAAAAATCCAATAAGTCCATGTATAAAATAATTTGCATGCATGCCAGGATGCGAATAGCTTTTTGCGTACACTCGTCCCAAACCCTGTCCCGCTACACAGCATAGTACAATATGAGCTATAGAAGCATTAATATCGTCGTCATCGACCATTATATTTCATTTATTGAGAAATTTTGAAAATAAATTCGTACAAATACAAATTATATTTTTTTTTAGAAAATGATAAATCTAATGATAGAAAATTATAAATTCTGACAATATCAAAAGATACAATAATTTTATGACACCAAGCACAGTCTAAAAAGTTTTTATATATGTAAATATTAATGAAAATGTATTGTAAGTAAGGTATATGTATGTATTTGTATACTTATCTTGATCAGCGACGGGTTTTAATATATGAAAAATGGGAAAGCATAAATTAAAATCTCTAATTTGAATTGATTGATGATGAACATGATTGTATTTGGTTCAAACTTAGTAGGTAGAAACTTAGTGTTCAAAATATGATTTACTTGTGGCTCACCCTCGCTTCGCTCGGGTTCATCGCTAGGAAAACAAAAACAAACCTATCCCACGGGAACCATACATTTCTACGTGATAAAAACTACTGCAGGAATTTATCCGGGTCAACATATAGGATACTTTTTACCGCGAGAAAATGTCTCATTTCGGAGAAAAGATACAAAAACTGCAATGTAAGAGTATACTAATATGTAAAACCTAAGAATTTGATTTTTGTTCATATGAACGCGAGCGGAGCCGCGCGCAGTGCTAGTACGGAATAAAATCTTAAGCTATTTTTGTTTTATAACGCCAAATAAATATAACTTCTTACGTGCGTACATAAGTATACACACACGTTTTATTATTAATATTATTCAGTGATTATAATATGTAGCCGCAATTCACTAAAATTGGACTAATCTATACTAATATTATAAAGAGATAAAGCTTGCGAGTTTGTGACGTTATAGGGATTAAGTAATCTCTGGATCTACTGAACCGATTTAGATGAAATCTGGTAAGAAGATAGTTTGAGACCCTGGGAAGGACATACTTTTAAACCCGGAAAAAAGGGGGTGAAAATGAGGATGAAAGTTTGTATTGGGAAGCAAGCTAGGGACGAGCCCGAGCGAAGCGAGGGTCAGTCGCTAGTAATTCGATATTCTGGTTAAAACTGGAAAAAATCAGATTTTTATATCAGCTTAGACAACTATACGTATATTTATCAATTTTAAATTTGAAATATTCAACAATATGTTGATTTTTTTTTACTTTTAAGTTTCACTAAATACATTTTATTATTCGCTAATGGGGAAGATTTGTCGAAAAGAGAGCAACATACGTATGGCCTATCTCTTTTATAGCAGGTTTTTGTGTATTGAAATTTTTCCCCTAAGTGGGTAAAATAGGGAATTAAAGAGTGCATAAAACTCTGTCATTCTTAATGTAAAATTGACAAAAACTGGCGTTTAGCCTTAAGATAAAATATAAGAAATATATTTATTTATTTTTCGAAATTCATCCCTTTAAGGGGTAAAGGGGGGGGGGATAATAAAGAGTTTATATGGGCAAAGAATTATTTATGATCAGAATTACTTGAAACTTTGTATAAATTCTCTTCAATACAATTAAATAAATGCGTTTTTAGCATTTTTCGAAATTCAATACCATATGGGGGAAAATGGGGGATGAATGTTTGTATGAAACTCTGTTAATCAATCTACAATGGACCAAAACTGGTCGACGTAGCTAGGGCCGACCTCGGCACCACACCCAACATAAATAATAATAATGTAAAAAAGATCAAAAATAAAATAAAAAAACCTGCAGACGATTTAAGAGTTTAGAAATTACTTTCTTTAAAATAAAGTGAACATAGCCTTAAATATAAAGATTGTGATTTCGCCAATTTTTATCGACTTATTGCTTTAACCAAAAATTTCTTCAGTTTTGATCTTTTGGGAACAATTAATGATATTCATTTTCTTTGCATGTTGGCACTGTATAATTTGTCATTTTAATTAAATTTTAAATATAATGAAAAAAATCCATCCACGCTATAATATACTGAGGGCTATAGTGATCGCGACACCTGGCGGGAGAAAATGCAAAATTCCTCCCCATACACTATAGACTATATTATATTTTATTTAAAATATGTAAACAAGGTGGCAACACTTCGTCCGCATAGACAATTACAAAGTCAATCCAAACTAAAAGGCTTCCATTTTGCTGCTAAATGCGTAAAATTTTACAAAAAATTAACGTCCTAAAATCTTAAATTATTGTTGGTCTTGCAAAACGTGATTTTTTAGTGAATTTTTAAAACGCAGTGAATAACAGTTAAGGATGGCAGCCAGCGATTCAGGGACGGATGACTCACTTTATCCAATTGCCGTACTAATCGACGAATTGAAAAATGAAGATGTACAACTGAGATTGAATTCTATAAAGAAGCTGTCAACTATTGCACTCGCATTGGGCGTGGAAAGAACGCGATCTGAACTGATCCCATTCCTCACAGAGACTATTTATGACGAAGATGAAGTTCTTCTTGCACTTGCAGAACAATTGGGTAAGATCCTATAAATTATGTGAAAAGCCAAATAATTCATAACAAACACTAGGAATATATAAAGTGAATGTTCAACTTTACCTTATATAGTCAATTTCAATTTATTTACACTGTAATCTATATGTTAATTTAAATGGCATGTTGACGATTATTATATTTCTAGTTGTTAGGGTGAAGGTTATGTTAGACGAGACATTTTATTAAGAATTGATATAATATAATAATTTACATTTCTATATAAACTGTTGAAACAATGATTTTGAAGTAGTTATATATCTTTAAAATCAAATAAATCAAGTAGTTTTAATATATATTGCACAATCTTAGTTATTACTTTAACACACTCAATTTTCAAGGATATTTTTAAACGAACACAAATATTCTTAAAGGAAATTTCATCAACCTGGTTGGAGGAGGTGAATTCGCCCATTGCTTGCTCCCACCTCTGGAGTCTCTTGCAACAGTAGAAGAGACAGTAGTAAGGGATAAAGCTGTTGCTTCATTAAGGGCAGTCGCTGCTCATCACTCACCCCAAGCTTTGGAGCAACATTTCGTACCCTTAGTTCAACGTTTGGCTGGAGGTGATTGGTTCACTTCTAGAGCCTCTGCATGTGGATTATTCAGGTAAATGGAAATTTGAGTAATAGTATTACATTAAAATTATCATACTGGATGTAAAATAATTATTATTTTAATAACATAACAATACATATTTTTAATCTTCTGGCTAGTTACACCATTTATAACTCAAAACAGGTGGACCCTTTTTTTCCAATCTTTGGTTTGTTAGATTTTTCCACCCTGAATAGCAGATTATCTAATAAAATATCTATATAATAATAATAATAATACATATAATAATGATATATTAAGTTTCTTTTGTTGTAAACATGTGTTTATGATTGGCAATGTTTTGTAAATAAACAGTGATAAAAGTTTTGCTCCCACATTAGGTGCTAATTTCCCATACTATTATATCTCTATCGAATAAAAACAGACATCTGTATATGATCCAGGCTTCTCGTGAAGTTGAAAAAAAAAGTTATAGCTTGGCCTAATTTGTTCTGCTAATTTTTGTTTTTTTTTTTATTCTGAACATAGTAGTACGAAGTAGATTCATCTCCAAAGCAATCAACAAAATGATTTATGATCTAGCGGCTCACCCTCTCTTTGCTCAGGTTCATCACTAGGTATGTTTTAACGGTTGGTATGAAAGTTTTTTCATGAGAATGAGATAATTTCCTACAATCATGAACGAATTAGAGACTGGACCTGACATAAAATACAAATGTATGAAAACTAGTTCAACCAAGTGACGCATAACGCACACTAAGATTTTATTACATTATTATAAACACTGATACACAATACAATATTTCTAGTGCTTGAACGTAATCGATAAAATACATATATCGATGAACCAATAAATGACATTTTAGACATTGGTTAGCATAGTCATCATATTTTACATCTTTTAATTTATTCTTCTTCTTTTAATTTTAATAAATTAAAATAAATGAATTAAAGAGGCAATAATAATGTGTCAAATAATAATTATTTTTTAATTTGATTTATATAAATACGATGGCATTGATGGCAACATTCTGTTGGCTTATAATAATGTTAATGAACAAAATGAATATCGGGTATATATTCCATTAATATATAATAAATATTATTTTGTAAAGATTAAAAAAATATTAAGCTAATTTAATTAAATAAAGTAATTTTGTTGATTCTGTTATTGAACTATTTTAATTGGCAATTGATTGTCTCGGGTAGTTATAAAAATGTGACACTGTCCTACTATTGCTCAGTTCTTAATAAACATTTGTGAAATTAGGAAAAAGAAAAAGAGATTGCAAATTAAAGTGAGTGTTGGATAGTGAAAGTAAAATAATTAGTGCAAGTGGTAAAGTGTTTTATTACAAATCACCAACCCAGAAGTTTAGTGCTAAAACATTATTGTTTGATTTTGTGTAATTTATGTGTTGAAATAAAATGATCTTTATTATTATTACAATGGAATAATATTCCAAAGTATATAAATGTGGAATAAAATAAAATAAAAAATTAAGTACACATACTAATTATAATTTTTGCATTTATATTTTTATTTGATTTAGAAAATATTTTTATAAATTTATTGTCATCAGATTGTAGGATACTGTGGTAAAAGTATTTTATGTTATTGTACTGTACAAATAACACAATTCGTTTAGTAATTTCGTCAAATATCGATATATTTTTCGACATTGTCAAGCACTAGTCGATGTCAAATGGACTCACTCGACAGTTTAGTCATTTGTTCTGAATGGTATAATCCAGGGATTTTATGATGGTTGTCAGATGTCAACAATACATAGAAATATCGACTATATTTAACATAGTTGGATAATATGACATTTTATTTTACATTTAATTAAATTGTGTGATAAATAACAATAAATGTAATAAAATAATGTATTTACAAGTGAAAAGAAATACTGCTGCTTCCGCCGTTATAGTTTTTACATCATTTAACAGAACATTTAGTCAATTTTGGGAGATGTTTTGTTGACAAATAAGTGCTTGAGACTGACGCAAAAAACAAACGACCAAGCCTAAAATCTCCTGGTTACTGAGAAGACCGATAAAGGTACGTCCGCTTATATGTCTAGTCCAGTGGTTAATTCGTTCATGCCTACAATAAAAAGTAGCCTATGTCACTCTCCTCCTACCACCACACAAAATCACGCCACAAATCCGTCACTATTTCGATGTGAAAGAAGGACAAACAAACACACTTTCACATTTATAATATATTAAATATTGATTTCAGTGTCTGCTACCCACGCGTATCAGCCCCAGTGAAGGCAGAGCTCCGGGAACATTTCCGTTCCCTCTGTCAGGATGACACGCCGATGGTGCGACGCGCAGCCGCCTACAAATTGGGAGAATTTGCTCGAGTAGTTGAAGTGGAATATGTGAAGAGTGAACTTATACCCATGTTTGTGTTCCTCTCTCAGGTTAGTTGGAGTTTTTTTTATAAAAGTGGTGGATTTTCCTTAATGTAAATTATGACAATAAATAGTATGGGTATTTGCAATATTTTTTATTACTAAATTTAAACTGCCCCATTGTGCTAGTGACAAACATGGACAGATCTTTAAGTTCTAGGTTCAAGTCCAGGGACAGGCTGAGTCCCCCCCAACGTGCGTTCACCTTGTCGTGGTGGGGGGGCTCAGTAGCAGTAGCGAAGCTAAGAAACGCACAGGGAGGTTGCCCACTTCGGTGGGCGGTGGGAGGTGGCCCTCTTCGGAGGGCGGTGTACCATGCGGGTTGCTCCTGGTACTTCTCTGATAGCAGAGTGGACTGTGGAGCAACCCCATGGTTGTGGTGGTCTGCTTCGGCGGACCTGCCGTCGGGGCGTCGTAGTTGAATGCATAAGCGATCCTGCGACGCCCCATTAAGACGGGGGAAGGTTTTGTTGGGTTTTAGTGGGTAGTACTGGCTGTATTACGCCGGTGAGTCCCACACGTCGTGCGTAAATGCATTTCCCAACGTTAAAAAAAAAAAAAAAGGGACAGGCTGAGTGGGTTATTAGGTTTTTCTGTAATAAATTTATCAATAACAAACTCTGGAGTGAAATGAATAGTGAATGCACTTCCGAGTATAGTGGTGCACTATAATATTGCTATACTACACTATAACATTACCTAATTATGATTTGCTACCATACTGTGGCCAAACTAATTCAGAAGAACATTATTATTCTAACTTTATTTAGATACACTGGCGTGCAAAAAAATCGGGCCACCTAGAGAAAATGGGCAAACTTAAGATATATTTCTTTATTAATTTTGTTATGATATATGGGTAGCTGTATACCCTAGGTACTAAATCAATAATCGTTGAATAATTTAAATAAAAATTATTGCTCGAAAGTAGAGGAAAATCAAATTTAATGATTTTTCGCGAGTTTGGTATAAAAATGTAAGCCGCAAATTAATGGGAAAATTAAAAGATTTCGATTGGTTTTATGATTTTTAATAATGCGTATTACCGCCTCTATTTTTAATTACAGCTTTTAATCGGTTTTTCAGAGATTTGACACACTTTTTTAGATAATCTTGTGTAATAGACTCCCATTCCTCCAATATGGCGCTTTTTAATTCTTGAATGTAGCTCGGGACTACTACGCGACTTCTAACTTTTCTTTTGAGATGGTCCCATACATGCTCTATCGGATTGAGGTCAGGGCTTCGCGCTGGCCAGGCAATAGTAGACACTCCGACCTTTTGAAGATACTGCCTTACAGATGTAGCAGTGTGTGGGCGAGCATTATCTTGTAGAAGCAGAAAATCTTCTCCAATGAACCCAGTAAAAGGCATCACATGATTTTCTAAAACCTCCGTTATATACCTAACTAATAATATAAGCTCGGTTTTCGCTTCGTAACAGAATCCTTCCCAAAACATAACTGAGCCCCCTCCATATGACACTGTTTCTCGCATAGTGCATGGTGCATATCTTTCACCTGGTCGCCGGTAAACAAAATTACGGCCGTCGGCACCATGCAAACACATTCTGCTTTCGTCAGTAATAAGAACCTTCTTCCACTGCTCCAAATTCCAATTCACGTGATCTCGGGCAAAAAGTAATCTTGCAATTCGGTTTGCAGGGGTGAGTTTGGGGCCAGTTGCGGACTTGCGTGGCGTCAGGGAAGCGGCTCTAAGTCGGCGCCTTACTGTCCACTCGCTAACATTAACACCTCTCACTTCTCTTAGGAGATTTCGAACGTCAACCCCTGTGCGATGACGATTTCTTAGAGCTGATGACACAATAAATCAATCATCACGCTCTGATGTGGCTCTTCGTCTGCCGGAACCATGTCGTCGTACAAAGCCACCAGTCTATGTAACGTTTGTACACTCTGGACCGTAGAACGGCTCACAGAAAAAGCTTGAGCCACTTGACGTTGACTTTGTCCAGTTTCAAGCAAAGTCACAATTCGAAATGATTCAGCCTCGGTCAGATCCATCTTGCAGTATTTCTAATAATCGCAGATCAAAGTAGAAGTGTCTTGTTCAATAATTGGAACTCAACTAAACTTCTAAAATAACAAAAAACAGTATCTGTGGCTTCAATCCATATTATGCAAATATTCACTAATTACTGCTAATTGACTATAATTAAGCGCACACGTGCATTTCCAGGAATTTTATGACTTTTTTGAAGGAAACAAAGGCGTCTAATCTCCTTAATTACCTTTGCGGTATTTTTTTTCACCAAACAATTGTCAACAAAAAATTATGCTTAAAATTAAGGGTGGCTCGATTTTTTTGCACGCCAGTGTAGTATTATTAAATTTGTAAATTAAGCTTGGTAAACTGAAATAGTTGATAAAATTCAACTTGTAACTTTAACTAGAATTTACAGTTAATAAAGTGCATGTGGTCTAATTTTGGCCACATATCTATCTATATAAATATTAAGTAATTATTGAAATGAATTTTCAAAACAATAATACCCATGCAATTTACAGGATGAACAAGATTCAGTCCGTCTCCTGGCGGCAGAAGCCAGTGCAGCGGTTGCAGCACTACTGCCCCCGGAGGATATGGAACAGCTAGTGATGCCCACAGTTGGGGCTAGAGCCGGTGATAGCTCTTGGAGAGTGCGATACATGGTGGCTGATAAGTGAGTATATTTATTTTGGGCGACTTACTCTCACTTCACTCGGGTTTGTCCCTGGGCGAATAACAATAGCAGATAAAGTAACTCAATGGATATTTTCTTTTGACGTCAATTTAAATTGTGTGATTTCAGACAGTAATACATTTTTATTCATATAAAAAACTAGCGACTCACTCTCGCTTCGCTAAGTTTCCATACAAACTTTCATCACCATTTTTACCCCCACCCCCCCATAAGGGATGTTTTACGGAATAAAAAGTGTCTTATGTCCTTTCCAGGGTCTCAAACTATTTTCTTACCAAATTTGAACTAAATCGGTTCAGTAGATCCAAAGATTACCCCCTACAACGTTACAAACTCGCAAACTTTACCTCTTTATAATATATCACCTCCATGTAAATTTCTAACAAATTAATTAAAATTCTAAGAAATCTATTGTTAACTGACACGCCGGCATGTCCGCGGTCGTGGAGGGATTAATATAGATAGCTTATAGCGGTCGACGGTAACAGCTTCCTATTAGTGAACGAATTTTCAGAATCAGATCAATAGTTTTACACAACTAACTGTACTTCTATATAATATTAATGTAGAAATTTAGTAGAGTGTATGTCTGTTTGTTGAAAATGCTATCAACGTGACTATATATTTCTAATGATGAAACTTTTTATATTTTAAAAATGATTGTTTCTGCCTATATATTTTTTTAATCTTGCTTATGTTTTAGAGGCCGGTAATATCGATGATAATATGAATGTTCCCTTTTTTACTTATTCTAAATTTAATTCTAATAATAAGAAACTTCTAACCCACCCTCCCTTTGCTCTCAGGCTTTAACCAAAGCCACTGTACTACATAAAACCAAAAGAAAACTAACAGAGGGAAAGAACGATAACCATCATTAATTAACAAATTTATTATATTGACATGTTTGGCTCAGATTGTACCGCTGGGGGCATTAATTTATGTAATGAGCATGAATGTTTGTACTCCAGACATGGGTGTTTATATTTATAATATGTATATATTTAAAGTTATATGTGTAGTGTATCAACTATCTGGTAACCATAACACAAGCCTCGTAGCTTATCATGGAACTAGATGGCGCTGTGTGTTAACGTCCCAACATATTTATTTATTGTAAATAAAGTAAATAATAATAGGCCACCATTAATGTAGTCTAATTAAAAATAATTTTGAACAGATTTGTGGAGCTTCAACAAGCAGTAGGCCCTGAACTTGCTCGCACAGACTTGGCTCAGATATTCCAAGCTCTCCTAAAGGACACTGAAGCTGAAGTGCGAGCTGCCGCTGCAGGCAAGGTATGTATAGCTGATATGTTTATTTAAATTTAAAAAATATACTGGACTTGTCTTAAATATTAAAGAGACTGTTTATATATATATTTTTTGTTGGTTATTTAAATCATTTCACATTATATTTTGGATTAAATTTTGCTTAACAGGCATAGAATTAAATGTATTTAAAATTTTGTATATTAATGTTGCCAAAAAGGTATATATTTTTTATATGTATGAATTTAAATATATGTGTAGTGTATCAACTATCTGGTATCCATAACACCGGCCTTGTAGCATACCATGGAACTAGATGGTGCTGTGTATTACTATTAATGTCCCAATATAATAATTATTATTATTGACCTCTATTGAATGATTAAAAGAATCACATTTTCTTTGAAAATTAATTTTGCTGAGAACCTTTATGCTTGTTTAACATTTTTTAAATATATTCAAATTGTTCAGGTAAAAGACTTCTGCATGAACCTGGACAAGGCACACCAAGAGCATATAATTATGACCATGATCCTCCCACAAATTAAGGACCTGGTTTGTGATCCCAACCAACATGTCAAATCTGCTCTTGCTTCAGTCATCATGGGCTTAAGTCCCATTGTTGGAAGACAGAACACCATAGAACACCTGCTACCGCTTTTCTTGACACAACTGAAAGACGAGTGCCCAGAAGTCAGACTGAATATAATATCCAACCTTGAATGTGTCAATGAAGTCATTGGAATTCAACAGCTCGTCCAATCCTTACTACCAGCGATTGTGGAACTAGCGGAAGACACAAAATGGAGGGTCAGGCTTGCTATTATTGAACATATGCCACTGTTAGCTGGCCAACTTGGACAAGAGTTCTTTGATGAAAAGCTAACTGGACTATGCATGTCATGGCTGATTGATCATGTTTATGCTATTCGTGAAGCGGCCACCTTGAATTTAAAGAAATTGGTCGAACAGTATGGAGCGGCCTGGGCCGAGACTAATGTCATACCAAAAGTACTGGCAATGTCCCGAGAACAAAATTATTTGCATAGAATGACTTATTTATTCTGTATCAATGTTCTGTCAGAAGTATGCGGAAAGGACATCACGACGCGAGTTCTTTTGCCCACAGTTTTGTCTATGGCTGACGACAATGTTGCCAACGTTAGATTCAATGTTGCCAAAACTCTGCAGAAAATGGCGCCTTACCTAGACCCAGCGGTTATTCAGCCACAAGTGAAACCTGTTTTGGAGAAATTAAATGTAGATCCCGATGTTGATGTTAAATACTTTGCGTCTGAAGCAATCGCTGGGATCGCAGGTTAATTCAATATTAGTCAGTAATTTTTCTAGTTTGTATTTATTCCAACAAGCCCTATACCGTTTCCATTCCAGAGAAAATTCAAAGGAACACTGTGCGGCATTTATCTTCATAAATTGTTAACTTTTAATATAGAAATAAAAGCCATTTTTGTTTAATTTTACATTTCTAATAGTTGCTGGGTTATAAAAAAATGACACAAATATCCCAGCACTTTTTAATTTTGTTTTGGCACAAGTAGGTTTTAAGTAGTAAATGTAGATTTTTATTTGATAATCACATTGCTAACTTGTAACACTATCAACCTAACAGGGCTCTTCAAAGTTGATCAAAATTTATTATGTAATCAAATAAATGTATGTACGTAAAAATAAAACAAAAAACCATTAAACGTCTATACTTTTTATTTTTCCATAAAATAACAATGTCCTAATTCACTTCATTGAATATAGAATTTACGTGAACGAGAAGACATGGAATGTAACACATTGTTACGGGGCTATTATTGCTATTTACATAAATAAAATGAATTATCACACATGGACGCGTTATTTAAATACACATTCAACAATTTGTGCACAGAAAACAAAACTTAAGCACCAAATTAGAAAATTTTAATTTAATCAGAAACTACCATTTCAGAGGAAAGTATATACACTGGCAACATTTATTTTTATAATATGGCTATTAAATCTTTTTTTATAAGCAACACGATTGTTATAATTTTTTAACTTGATTGTATGTAATACACATTAATCTATCAACAACTTACTATTAAACAGTATAATATCTTACAAATATCGGCCCGACATACTGAGTGATAAAATAAAACTTTAAATCGTTGTATACAAATAATATCACCTTTCAAACAAATAATATTAAAATAAATATTCTTTCATAGAATTGCCATACTCACAAAATAATTCATTACACTTTAAATATTGTTATGGCAATTTTATATCGAAGATATATAGAATACATGCTGTTCAAAATTTACTATAAACAACACTACATGGTGTTTAAATAAGAACGAAATAATATTCTTAGCTTAAAAACGTGTTGGCTTTAAAAAATATATCATTTTTATTATAAATAGGGCAGTATGTCGGTCCGTGTGTAATACAAGTTTAGTGACGAGAGTCACGTGGGTAGAATTCGGCGAGGATGGAAGCGGGGATACGTTTAAGCATCTCCTTGGGGAAGATACGTAGCAATTGCCAGCCGATGTCGAGCGATTCAAACACTGTACGGTTCTCGTAGTTGCTCTGCGAAACGAAAACATTAAATTAATTATAGTTAGGTAATAATTATAATGCAATTTAAAAGAAATTATGTTTTAAAGTATGAATTACTAATATTTATGTGTTCAATAAATGCAACTAAACACAGTAGATTATTTAATAAGGACAAAATATTAGTATTTACGACATGACGACATTAGTATTCAAAATCACCCTAAAGATTGCATTCGCTTGAATTAAAACCTCAACAATTTAAAAGATTCATTTAAGTTCAAATTAAGTTTAAAAATAATAAGCTTTCATACTAAAATAAATATAAAGCAATACTAAACTAACAATTTTTTTCTTAATTTCTATATAGAAAATATGTAATAATAACCTGGGTGATGAAGTTCTTCTCGAACTTAGTAAGGAACTCCAAGTACAGCAAGTCGTCTGGGGTCAGAGCCTCCTCTCCCACCACGGCCTTCATGGCCTGCACGTCCTTACCGATGGCGTAGCACGCGTACTGTTCACAACAAAGTTCGTAAATTATATATTGCTCTTTATATTATAACTAGCACTGCCCGCGGCTCCGCCCGCGTTCAGATGACCAAAAAGCAAATTCTTAGGTTTTACATAATACTCTTGCATTGCAGTTTTTGTATTTTTTCTCAAAAATGAGATATTTTCCCGCGGTAAAAAGTATCCTATATGTTGACCAGGATAACCAGCTATCACCATACCAAATTTCATCAAAATCCCTCCAGTGGTATTTCTATGATATTATTACTGCAGTATTTTAACTTTATCTAAAAAGGGGTCTACACTGGTCCAATCAGGCAATATATTATGTACATACATATATGTATGTGTTTTTTATTAACGATTATGTAATGTAACACACAGACGTATTGTCCATGTGGTATTTTGTTTTGCTGTGATTATGAATATAAACTGTTACACTATTGCATTTTGTTAAATTATTTTGAAGGAAAGGTCCATTTTAATGTCAAAAATTGGCTTTATGAGCCCATTTAAGTGGGGTATATATTACAATTCTTCTAAATGTGTGTATATTACTGAACTCCTAAATGTCTGAACCCATTTATATAAAAAAAAAATTGTGTTTGAGTGGATCTCTAGATGGTTTGGATACACAACTGGACCCAGTAGATGCTGCAGGCGGGTTCTAGTATTTTTTTTTATATACTCATACAGAGATTTGTTTATATGTTCGGATAGAACAAAGTCAGTTGGGTCTCCTAGTATGTATGTATATTAGTACACTTACCAATTGATTAGACACGTCGGAGTGATCTTTACGTGTCATGCCCTCACCGATGGCGGACTTCATCAGACGTGAGAGTGAAGGAAGCACGTTCACTGGCGGGTAGATCTGTCTGTTGTGTAATTGACGGTCTACGTAGATCTGTGGGGAAAGTGTGATTCATATAATGATAGCGAGTAGGTAGGTACATACGTTTTAGTATGGAATAGATAGACTATATATACATATATAGATATAAAAAGTAGATAAGTACTTAAAAAAATATATATTCCTTACTTGAGAAATGATTGATTCCCCATACAAACTTTAATCTCCAATGGATGATTTCTAGGATAAAAACTATTCTATGTCCATCACAGTGTCTCAAACTATCTTCATACCAAATTCACTTAAATCTGTTCAGCGTATTTTTAGTATATCCATAACAAACAAACACACATACAAAAAAAAACATTTTTTTCTCGCTTTATAAGTATAGATAGATATCACCAACCGACCTGTCCTTCAGTAATATAACCAGTCAAATCGGGGATGGGATGAGTGATGTCGTCGTTGGGCATAGTGAGGATAGGGATCTGTGTGATGGAGCCGTTGCGACCCTCCACACGTCCCGCCCGCTCGTAGATGGTGGCCAAGTCGGTGTACATGTAACCTGTGGGATACATTATATTGTAATTATTATTATTGTGTCATGTTTAAAGTAAAATATAAGCTGAAATATATATATTTTCGTGTTAAAAGGCAGTGGTAGCACTCTTGCAGGTTCAAATCCCGGATGTCGCACTACTAACTGTTTTTCATTTTAACATGATGACTTACTTGCCTTACAATGAAGGAAACATTGTGAAAAAACCTGCATGTCTGAAAGAACCTAGCAAGTTGTCTGCAGACATGCTCAGTCTGCACTTGGCCAACTTGGTGGACTATTACCTGAACCCCTCGTATTGAAAGGAGGCCCACCCTCAGTAATGGGAGGTTAAAAAGGGCTGAATACTAATGTTTTGTATCATAGAGGAAAGAACAACCGTCTATGATACTGGCTCAGCCTAATACAGTCAACAGTGATGTACGTAAGTAAAAGTTTTTATTATTATTATTATTATATTATATTAATATTACAAATGCTAAAAGTTAATATGTTTGTTTATTGTTGGGCGGATTTTGATGAAATTTTGTAAATAAATAGCTTATGACCTGGAGTAAGCTATAGACTACTACTTGGCACCTAAAATTAATCCTATTTAAACAAATCAAAATAACAACCAAACAACAAGGATGCTATATAATGTACCTGGGAAACCACGACGGCCGGGCACTTCCTCGCGGGCGGCTGACACCTCACGCAGAGCCTCGGCATACGAAGACATGTCGGTTAAGATAACTAACACGTGTTTCTGAAAAGATATATATTCACATTAGCACATGTAATTGCAATTAAATTCAATTCTTTTTATTATTGTGTTCCCGACTAAATGTTATTGTCGAAAATGGCCTGCAATCCTCTAAGCAACTTATAACGTAATTACTTGATCATTTAGTAATGGTGGTTTAAAGACTTTTACTATTGTTTCTTCAAATCTATTCTATCGTTAAAAAATAAATTAAAACATGCCAGTTCAGGACATATTATGTATGTCACAGGTGGTATGCGTAAATGCATTTCCCAACATTGAAACCCGTTCAATTTTTGAACCGGGTTTAGTCATTGATTCCAAACCGGCTTTTCGTTTTAAGATTTTGGTTATATACTTTAACCGGTTATAAACCGGAAAATGGTTAGTGACGAATTTAAGTTCCATGAACGAAATTAACCATTTTATTTCGGTATCAAAACCTAAATCTAAACTTTCTCTAAGAATAATATAAAAAAAAAAAACAAAATATCTTTAATCTGGAACCAACCTCGCACTGGTAGGCCAAGAATTCAGCGGCAGTCAAAGCCAAGCGGGGAGTGATAATTCTCTCAATAGTTGGATCGTTGGCCAAGTTCAAGAAGAGGCACACGTTCTCCATAGAGCCGTTCTCTTCGAAGTCCTGCTTGAAGAATCTGGCCGTCTCCATGTTGACACCCATAGCAGCGAATACGATGGCGAAGTTGTCTTCATGGTCATCTAACACGGATTTGCCGGGGACCTAATAATGATAATGATTGTTATTATTTATAATTGTAGACCCAACAGATGTTGTCTTGTCCCAATAAATATGGTCATGATCTAAGTTTACAAAATGATTCTATAGAAAAAAGCACTCAATGTTTACTGAGTGTGTGTGTGTTCTCTCGATAGGTCTTAAGGAAAAAAGTTTGAAGAATAATATAATATAAAATCGGCCATATTATTTTTTATAATTTTATACTTAGTGTCATACTCTCACAATTAAGACGAGTCTAATGACACCTCTCAAGCTAAAATCTATCAAGCTGCTTAGGCAGAGCGTACCAAAGAAATAATATGTATATTCCTTACATATCTTCATACATATACACTTGAAAAACATAACCCTCCTTCTGGCACAATAAGGTAAAAAGTAGACAATTTAGTCCAGCCTTTCTCAAAAGATGATGAAGATTTTAATCCCCCACGACCGCGGACACGCCGGCGTTACAGTTAATTAGAAATGGAGGTGTTAATTAATAAAATTATAATGAAAAACAATGAAGAGATAATATTACTGGCACTTATACACTATACTAATATAATAGTAGGAACCCAAATATTTTTACAGAGTATACCAAAGATCACCAACTTCCCTTCTTACATATTATACCCATTTTCATTGTGTTTGTACATAAAATATAGCTGCAAAAAAGACAAACACATACCTTAACAAGACCAGCCTGTCTACAGATTTGCGCAGCAATCTCGTTATGGGGCAGACCGGCGGCCGAGAAGATGGGGATCTTCTGACCACGGGCGATGGAGTTCATCACGTCGATGGCGGAAATACCTGGATAAAAATATATACATAAATTACTCGTCAATAAGTAAACAAATTTGTATATGGTCATATTAATAAACATTTATTTAAAAAAAACCTTTTTCGCGTATTAATTTTGATTTTTCGGTCCCTACGTTCTGATTGCTTTACAGCATTAAATCATGGACCATGGATATGCTAAAATATCAGAAAATATAGTTTTATTTAAAATGCACATATTCATGTAAATCTAAGAATATTCTTTTCCAGTAAAAAGATAATGAAAAAAAAACCACAAGATCTAAAATTTTTAATAACATCAACAAACAATTTAAAAAATATATATATTAAAAACAAGAAACATTCCCTAAAAAATCAATTGAATATAATGTGTAGGTACTAAAAAAAGCACTCACCAGTCTGAATCATTTCCTCTGGGTAGATACGCGACCATGGGTTGATGGGTTGACCTTGGATGTCCAAGAAGTCCTCGGCCAGGATTGGGGGGCCTTTGTCGATGGGCTTTCCAGAGCCGTTGAATACACGACCTGGTTAAAGAATGCTTAATTTAAAAAATTACAGTACTTACTATGTTTTAAGTGGCACATGGGGTATCCCACTGACTGGACTATGGGAGAAATGGAACTTAGTATACAGAAAATAATGCAAGAATTCTAATGAAATTTTCTATTATTATTTTTTATTTTATAACAGATTAGGTAATTAAAATTATAAAAATGGGGCAAGTAAGGAAGGGAAGACTAATAATATTGCAAACCAAATACTAAGGAAAAGTGAAGATTTTTTGGCTTGGGGATTTTAGCTTCCAGAAAATTCTATTTATCTTATGTGCCCTATCCACTTACCCAACATGTCTTCGGATACTGGTGTCCTCAAGATATCGCCGGTGAACTCGCAAAGAGTGTTTTTGGCATCAATACCTGATGTACCCTCAAAGACTTGGACAACGGCTTTAGTGCCGCTGACTTCCAGAACCTTTACAAATATATATTTTTATTGACATACACAGCTGATAAAGTCATTTATCTACATAAAGATTTAAGATCTATACACAATATATTATTATAAAAAAAACATAACTTATTTATTTATGGCTTGGTTTTTTTTATCAGGAAAGTTATTTAACAAATAAATTATAGCATACTAGGAAAACATAAACAATCCTATCCCACGGGAACCGTACATTTTTGTGGAATAAAAAGTAGCCTATGTGTTATTCTAAAATCTTATTGAAAAATCTGCCATCTGCATTTTTAGCAATAAGTCCACTCTTTCTTATCTTTCAATTTACTAATTCTTTTTTAATATTGTGTTTACTGATATAGAGAACATACCCTAAAATATTTAAGCAATATTTTTTTACACCAGATACTGTGTTGTAAGCAGTAAAAATGTAACCCTAAAATATTAAAGAAATATTATTTTACACCAGACACTATCATGTAAACTGTACACAATTTAAATACCTTAGTTATGTACATCATCATAAAAATTGTGTGTTAATGACTGAAAAACTTACTACAATTTTGAAAAACATAATAATTTTTGAATGAAATCTTAAATAGTTAAGCAGTATTTTTTCTCTCATTCATTTCATATATTTTTTCTACATGATAAAGCTAACTTGGTTATAGAAATTATAAAACAAATACTATTTATCAAAAATCTAATGATGAAATTTAAGTTTTCATCAAAATCAACCTCATAAGTGTTTTAAGAATTTTTACTATTCTTTTGAACTTGAAAATTTATTCTCTGTATCACACAATACATATATGTAAAATATGCCACACAAATTGCCTCTGTTATGTAATAGCCTAGTCTTAAGGAATAATTTACAAGCTTTTCTATTATTCCAGTTGTAGAATAGAAAAAAAATACTTTTAATACAATTGTGTTAAACTTAACAAAAAAATTCTTCAGCAAATTTTATTGACTTTTAAAAAGATTTATTTGAAAATAAATTTAACTTCTAAAAAGATACACAAAATATTAAATTAATATGCATCTATTTTAGTCAGCCTTGTCTTTCATTGGCAGGAGAGATAAGAAAGAAAAATATTTTATCAAATTTGATTTATGCTATCAAACTTGACTTGGTTTACATAAGAATGTTAGACTAATAAATTATACCACAAAGATGTTGTTATTAGAAAAGTACTTGAAATACTACAAAACTGATGAAAATGAAAAAATGTATATATAAAATCTCATTTGTTACTATGTTGTATAATAATTTTATGAAACATTACAAGTTCAAAGTTATGTTAGTTAAATATTTCTTGAAGTTGAAATAATAATTCTTCTAGACTTCTAAACTCATCCTAAATATCTCACTATAAACAGTTAATTTTAGTTTTATCAGTAGCTTGTATAAAATAATCTAAATTCCTATATTGAAGTAATGATAATAATTCATATAAAGCATCATTGTACATATATGTATATAAAATATTAAAATTTGTATATTTGTTTATGCAATTATTCTTGATGTAATAATTTTTTAACACATTTAAAATATATATATTCAAATTGGTACTAACCTGTCCAGACCGTAGAGTGCCATCTGCAAGTCGTAGCTGTACAATTTCAGAGAATTTTGGGAACTTTACTTCATCTAAGATTACTAGCGGCCCGTTTACACCAGATACCGTCTTGTAAGCTGTACACAATATAAATAATTAGTTAAGTACATAATTATACAACTCATATATTATGACTAAGAAACTTATCAAAAATTTACATAGATATATAAATTAAGACCTTTTAATGTCAATTCTCACAATTTTAAACAGCATTGGTGTCATTTTAAAAAATATTTATCTCATATCTTCTATTTCTGTTATTTGATTAAGTTATTTATAGTAATTATCTTAAAAACTATTTAATCACACTAGCTTTTATATAGAAAAGTGTCTCTGACTATATTTACAATAATTGGCAAAGGGTTTTTTTTTGATTCCTTACTTTTATTCTCTCAAATGGTATTTAATTAAGAATTATTGTCCATATATTAAGAAGTATTGACTCTTAGGTACAATGTAATAGTAAAAAGCAAGAAAAAATCAACTTTAGAGTTAATAGATAGATAAGTCATGTGATTCCAATAAGAAAAATTGTATTTTTTAATGGGTGTGACTGATTTGATATTAACTTTCTAACTTTTATATGGAATCTGGTATGGTGGATCTATTCTCATAAAATAGTATATTCATTCATATTTTCGGTTTAAAGCGTTGTGATGTATGTAATTACATGTAAACTATTACAAGTTTTATGTGCTTAGATTATTTGTACATTTTAACAGTCAAGGCTAGTAAAAACTAGAGCGTTTATCCCGTGGTCTTATGACATTAAATTAGATCAATTGATCATCTATTAGCAAACCAATTTTGATATAGAAAGATGTCTTTAAGATAACCAGGTACAAATTAGATTTACGTCAGATATCCCTCACCATTTTAAATGTTGGAAATTCACGGCTTTTAAATATAAGAGGCCTAATAACTCCCCCTACAAGATTTTTTTAAAAACTACTTCAGAATTATTCAGAAGAAAGATTCGTAAAGGAATACTAGAAATAGACACAACAAAACATCATAGCGGACTAATGGCAAAATCAATAATTTGACATCGCTGACTTGCCAAGTAATATCTTCTAGTTTAACATTACAAAATTGATATTTCACTTACTAAGACGGGGTTGCGAGATGAAATCCCTGGATACAGCCAAGACATGTTCTTTATTCGCCTGGGTAGCGGATAGAGTTTTTGCCATGTTTCAGTTTTCTTTTGGCAGGCCGCTCAATAAAACACTAAACTGCGCTGCCTCCTCGCCCGAAAACTGACGAATAGATGTTTTGTCTATGCCACTTCACGTGCTGTCACGTGACCTATCACAAGATAAAAGTTGCCATTAATATGATAGAATTTCCTTTTCTTCATTTTATACTATTGTAGCTTTACACTTTATTTGTCATCCGTGCTTTACACTACTAACAAAATATTCATTATTTGTTTTTACAATTTTTCATTAAATATTTTAGCCCTACAGAAATAAAATCCAATAAATATAATATTTTGTAGACAAAATAAATTACTTTTTACTCATAGACTGGTATAAGATTAAAAAAATCGATAATTTAATAATCATAAAAATTATAATTGATATTTTTAATTATTAAACGCTAATTTATTTACGCTCCATGGGAATATCTGAAGCTTGTGAGTGTATACCTGTTGTTCTTCGCACACAAAAAAGTTGAACGAATTTGGATAAAACTTATGACTGACATAAATAATAACTTTCGTTTGAATATTTTAATTTTTTATCTGCAAAAAATCACATAAGTGAAGCCATGAGAAGTGATAAAATACTTTAAAATTCAAAAGCTCCCATTATAGTATTTGGCATTTACATTCAGAATGTAGAACAAACACTAAAGAAAAACATATTATGAGACATGAAAAATATTTGCCACTTTATAAATATTTATTGTCTTGTAAATCAATTTAAATTGTAATGTTTTATTCTTTTTTCTGAAATTGTTTGATTTCAATGTTACTAACATTACTTTTAGTTACGTTTGCTAGTATGTACAAAATATTGAACATGGTAGCGCTGATTTAATATAAATTTCTAGGAGTACCTAGTAAAGTAAATCAAAATATAATTTGATTGTTGGCAATTCATTTACATACTTCTATCACATTCCCACACATACCTTTTGTAATGCGTGCGAGAAAGACATTCGATACGGATCAACATAGACTGTGGTGCCTTCTGAGGCCACTGAAGTGAGTTAATCATCGTAAGTCGTTTTGATATTAAAAATATGTCCGAAGACTTTTGAACAACACATAGAATTTCATCTCGCCTTGACATCTCCCGCGCAGTTCTATTATTTCTTAATTAGGTTGCATCAACCAAATATAGGTACTGTGAGAGTAATCGCAAAAATTAGCTTCACCCGAGTAAACAGGGCAGTTATTTTGAAACTTATATAATACTATTAATATGACTACATTTACTAAAATAGGACATATAAATCAATATTTTGTAAACTTTTATTAACTATATTACAAGAAGATCCTATTTTACATTATTTAAAAATTAAAATCATAACTGCATGTTCGAGTTATCGTAAACGATACTTTTTTGTATAACATTATACCCTGAAATTGAGTAAAGACTAAAGACATAAAAATAGCAACATTTATATTTAACAAAAAATCTGTATTCTAAAAATATTAAAATGTAAAAAAAGAACGAGAAAAAATCGTTTTACTTTTTCATGAGCAAGTATTTTTTTCGACTTTGTTACTAGATTGTTTTATTTTTTTTAACTGTTAATAATTAATGCTATGTTACTTGCGTCTTAGTTCAGACCTCCAAAATTTTTATTTCATTTTTCTTATAAATCTTAAATTTTTGTTTGAGGCTATAGTTATTAGAATTATTTAATGATGATTTTTAATACACGACTTGTATTTAAAAAAATCGTATATTTTTTGCAATTACATAAATAGAGATCAATTTATACAGAAGGATTAGTAATAGTCTAATCAAAATTCAAAATAAATTATAAATGGGGAAGATTTCTCGAAAGGTGAGCGCTACACGTATGGCCTATTTACATTCAGTCTGAGATTAAGAAATTTGTTGTGATATCTCTTATACCTCGTTTTTTTACTTCTATTATGTTCGCATCTTACCTGTACTATGCATTGTACTCACGGGTTTGACCAACTGAAGGAAGAATTGAGAAGCAGAGGTGCATCCTGCGGTGGTCCTAATTGACTGATGGATCACACTACACACAGTCTACACCGATGGATGTAGAAACGTTAAATTTTGAGGACGTATTCTTTATATTATGAAGTAGGCATCCTTTAAAAAGGATTTTTCAAAATTCATCCCCTAAATGGGTAAAATAGGGCATGAAAGATTGTATAAAACTCTGTAATTATTCACAGTTAGTGGTTAGTAGTTGGTATTCACCCTTATAATGAATATTAAAATAATACAAATATTTTCTATTATTGTTTGTATTTTTCTGGGAAAAGCTCCTTTTTCAGATTTCTATTTCGTAGTCTTTCTTCCCTAGAAGCTGCATAAGGTGGTAAAAACTTGGACCAAGGGAAAACAGACAGCACCGCTTTCTCCTTTAACTTTCGACTTTGTAAATTAAAACCTAAAAATTAAACAATATATTTTATGGTTGTTTAAATATGTATTAAGTATTTGTAAAAGTTCCAACAGTAGTAATAAAGTATAAAATAAATATTCACCTGTAGACGATTTAACAGTTTTTAAATCACTTCTGTAAAATGGTATCGACATATCCTTAAAATATAAAGATTGTGATTTCGCCAATTTTGTTCGTCTTATTGCTTTAGCCCACAATTTCTTCAATTTATGTTTCTTTAATATATTAATATATTTAATTATCTATAACAAATGATATCCATTTTCTTTGCATCCTGGCACTGCACAACTTATCATTTTAATTAAATTTTAAATAAAATGAATAAAAATCCATCCACGATAGAGCTTTACAATATAGTGAGGGTCATAGTAATCGTGACATCTGTCGGGACAAAATAACAATATTCTTCCCCGTTGTACACGTCATGATGTAACATTTAAGTGTAATCTGTAGTGTTGTAAATTGTAATAAATATGTCAAAATCTAGGCGGGTGGTGAAGAGCGCGGGGTGTACAAGACAGACACGCAAACGGCAAAGTGTTTGCAGTTGAAAAGTAATCTTTTCAGTTTTCTTGTGGTTTAAAGTATCGGACGCCAGTCGGTACATTATCGTATTGTATTGCTAATACAATAATATTTTCTAATAGTAATCCATTTTATTTAATTGAGAAATATTCAAATTAAATACTTTACGATGTCGGTGATGGGCAAATTTGTTGTGCCCTATGTATCGGCCCGGAATTTTGCTAAAATCGGTGCCGCTTTACAAACTGTGAAGCCTAATAGAACTTATTTTACTTACACACAAGAATTGTCGCAGCCTTTAGATAGAAAACCTGAGTTCCTTACTGCTAAGGAAGCATTCGAAAAATGTTTAAAATCAGGTAAGAAATATGTACTACTTAGTAAAAACTGAAAGTTATATTTAGTTTCGTTACTGTCATACTATGCTATTTATATGATCAATTCAATACACTACATTGTAAATCGTTCGTAATATATATAATTATACAACATGATTAGGTTTCGCGGTTTGGGATTTTTTTTAATAATTTTCATATGTATTGTACCTAACTATAATTTAATCTTTAGTAATTATTAAATTATTTTGTTAATATACTTGCTAAAGAACTCATCATAAAATTATCAATTTGATATAAGAGATTATATCCTCTTCCACTATAAATGGTAGAACAGTTGAACTTTGTACAGTAGTTGTTTATTGGTAAATCGTCAAGACGACCATATTATGCAGATTAAACATTATAACATCCACACGCACACACATTATAAACAAGTTTGATACATAAATAAGCCTTATACCTCTTGAAATGTACAAAAAATTAATAACCTAGTGAACAAAAATGTAGAATTAAAATTTGTTTCTTTTGTTGTTTTTTCAGACATTTATTAAGATTATAACCATTTTTTATGTATTCCAAATATAACAATCTTAAATGAAAAAAATAAGAGGCTAATTGAATTAAAACATATTGACAACATTTATTCTGATGATTTAATAGGGGATAAATGACTCAAGTTTATTGTGTCTATTAGTATTTCAAAAGATTAGTGTTGCTGTTATCTTTATTGTAGCTCATGATTGTACTTTATTTTGTGCACACAATAAACTAAGGTATGCACATAAATAGTAAGTTATAAACATAATTTACAAGATTTCATCTAAAATAATTGAAATAAAAAAAAAACAATCACCCAATACAATTGCCAATAAATTATTACAATGTTCAAAATAAATATACTTATTATATTCAGTCATTGAATTGAAATCTTTATGAGATCTCAAAAGAAGTGGACTTAGTAGACATTTGGCTGTAACTAATTACTATTATATTATTGTAATGAGAATAAACATAAGTTCTGTTCATTATTTTGGCATATATCATAATTTAAAATAAATATAAAAAATCAAGGTTGAAGCTCTTTGCTTTAAAATATTCATGTTTTTTACCTATTCATGTCTACAAAAAAGGCACTCTTAATTTTAATTAATTTACAAAAGTAATAGGTTTTAAATTCATTTTAATATAAAATATTTGAATCAGATAAAAAAATTTTTTTGTTATTGGCACACCCTGGGAAAGTACCTACATTTTCTTTTGCGTTCAGCTAGGTGTCAAAGTACAATTTATTTATTATGTTATATATATATAGAATATACTAGTTTTTGCCTATGGCTATGTTTGCATAGTTGTATCCGAACTTGACTTAGCATTTAAGATAACCAGCTACAACTTCTTTAATACATAGGCTTTAAGTGCAAAAAGAATTTTTCAAATCTGCAGTTTGAATATTATTATCATTAAAATATTATTATATAAATTTTATGTTAAGTAAGCGAGTCTAATCAATATAGATAGTAAAATTAAAACATAATCAAAAGTATATGGTCTCATAAGCATTTACTAGTTATTTGCTTCTGTAAAATTTTGCTATGCATATCTGTAATATAAAATTCAAAGTCCTGACTGATATAAAAATGCACAGCCTGAACCACTGGTGCTAGAGACATGAGGGTATGTTCTTTGGGAAGTGTAGGTATCCATTAAGAAAGGGTTTTTTAAATTCCACCACTAAGAGGGTGAAATGGGGGGGTTGAATTTTCTGTGAAACTTTATATTCTGGGTCGATTGACTTGAAAATTGGTGCACATACTCTTCAATTAAAATTATGAGACACGTGTATTACAGTTTTTCCAAAATCATCCCCCAAGAGAGGGGAGAGTCAAATAGGGTTTCGAAAATCCTACACGGCATGGTAGACTGGCGCGCAGCGTGGCGCAGAGTGTGCGGGGAAGCGGGGGATGTTTCTGTATTAATTGCTTATAACTTAAAGCCAAGGTTTTTTTGTAGTTTTAACGCGAGTTAGTTTAAATATAAAACTCATAAGTAATTAATTATAAATGTAACGAAGGGAGCAATTTAAAAAAAAACGTAAACAAATAATTAGTAAACAATTAGCTTAATTTGAAAATATTTATATATACATGTATTCTAATTGTCCATCATGAAGTGATTAAAAAGTCAATTGTTATTGTAACTAAAATAGAAACAAGTAGCATCAATTAATGATTATTGTGGGCTGTTTTGTGCAGTCATTTGTCATTTACATTTTATCAGTAAGACAATCTATACTTCTATGATCTATCTATACATATAATAAAATTCTAACTCAGTCGAATCTGAAAATTAAATATTTTTTGGAAATTCTTATTGATATAGTCATTATTTTTTATGGCTATCCGGGTCAACATATAGGATACTTTTACCGCGGATCTCATTTAAGAGAAAAAATACAAAAATTGTAATGTAACAGTATACTAATATGTAAAACCAAAGAATTTGGTTTTTGGTCATCTGAACGCGGGCGGAGTCGCGGGCAATGCTAGTAAATTATAAAAATCTAAAAACCGGACTGCGTAAAAAGTAGGTACATGTTTTATCCTTGCAGCTAGCTACGTGTATGTATGTATGTTTCCGACTGTATAATACTGTTTTCCTTCACTAACTGATTCTTTTTAGTTCGTTTTTACACGGTCGGACATTCTATTTTTATAATATTTAAAATCGGTTAAGCCGTTTAGTGATTATGAGGGACATAGGATCGGAAGTATATAAGTATACATACACGTTAAACACATAACTACTACTTTTTACCGCGGGAGATTATCTCTTTCCCACGGAAAAACACGTTACAATACAATCAAAAAAAATAATAATTACGATCAGAATTACTTGAAACTTAGTATTAATGCTCTTCAATATATTTGATTAAATACGTGTTTTAGCATTTTTTTGAAATTTATCCCATAAGGGGGTAAAATAGCGGATGAAAATTTGTATGAAACCTACAATTTTTTAAGTTTTTTTTATAGTTTTAGCGCGAGCGAAACCGCGGGTTCTGCTAGTTTTTAAATAAAGGAGCTAAGTTAGAAGTTGCGGCAGATACGGATATTGTTTCAATTGGTTAATATTCCTTGTGATTGGGCCGCAGTTGTTTATATAACAGGATTGCAGCGTATCGCCCTTTCAAGGCTCTTTTGCTTTACTGCGACATATTACCTATATTCCTTACCTTTGGTCATATACATATACTAGCATTGCCCGCGGCTTCGCCCGCGTCCAGATGACCAAAAACCAAATTCTTAGCTTTTACATATTAGTATACTCTTACATTGCAGTTTTTGTATTTTTTCTCGGAAATGAGATATTTTTCCGCGGTAAAAAGTATCCTATATATTGACCCGGATAACCAGGTATCACCATACCAAATTTCATCAAAATCTCTCCATTGGTTTTGTTTTGTGTGCGGTAACAGACAGACAGACAAACATTCCAAAAACTATAGATTCGGCCTCTGTATCGATAATGTTTATTTCAATAAGATTTTCCAAAAAATATTTAATCTACCGATTCGGCTTTGTTACAATTTTATAATGTATTATATATATAGAAGATAATAATATGCTAAATGCGAGTCACACATTAGTGGTGAAACTCTAAAGAGGATTTATTCTAACTAAAACTTTCACGTAACACCTAAATGGTTTCAGTGATGATTACCGGACTAGTTTTTTTTTAAGGTTGCGTACGAGTATTTGAGATATCCTGTTGGTCTTCTTCTGTCTGGCATTATTAATCCCGGCTATTGCCAAGGTCTGCTTTCCTGCTTAGTCTCCTCCACTTTGCACCCTCCCTTATTATCTCTGTCCCTTATTCCCTTTAAACTCTTAACCGTCCACTTTCGAACGAAATATAAAGCAGTTGATTTTCTTATAACATATCGATTATCGATAGCAGATACCTTTATCTATATTGAGAATATGGTTCATATAAGAAAATGTATTTTTAGGGTTTACAAAAACAGAAAGTGCAGAAAAAAATATAGTAAAATATATAAGTGTAAAACATAAATAAAACTTTTTATATATGTTATATATATTTTTATATATGTATATATATATATATATATATATATATAAAAAAAAGACAGGCAGTGGTAGCCCAGTGGTAACGCGCTCGCTTGGAAAACCGAGTGATGCGGGTTCAAATCCCGGGTCTCGCACCTCTGATATTTTCATGTGCGAATCATTTCTAACATGATGACCACTTGCCTTACGGTGAAGGAAAACATCGTGAGGAAACCTGCATGTCTGAGAGAACCCAGCAAGTTTTCGAAAGACATGTGAAGTCCGCCAACCCGCACTTGGCCAGCGTGGTGGACTATGGCCTGATCCCCCTCGTATTGAAGGGAGGCCCGTGCCCAGCAGTGGGACGTTAAAAAGGGCTGAATACAATACAATATATATAAAAATATACAAAACATATACATATTTTAATTACATACATATTATATAAGTATTAATACATAAATACAAGTATAGACCTATATAATATAAACAAGTAATCTATTATCTAATACATACCAAAATGATTTAAATATATACACATGTACATATAAATATATACATAAACACACATTATGTACATAAATGCTAAAAAACAAAAATATATTGTTCAAGAATGAGCTAGAAAATCCTTTTTTATCTTGGTCTTAAAAGCAGCTGTCGAAGAGCTCTTTTGTAGGATTTTAGGGAGTTTATTCCATAACACAGCAGCACGTACCGAGAAAGAGTTTTGTAAAAACTTGGTGTTACTACTTACTTCTCGGTATCTCAAGCATCCGATGTGATGTAGGGCCGCCTGGAACGACGGCACTTAAAATATTTTATGGGCATTAGATAGATTGTTAATAAGAAGCTATTGAGTTTGATATTAAACTTATTTGTTTTGAATATCTTGTTTTGTACAATAACATATACATTATATTTATATTTTTGGTGCTCATTACGTACAAAAACTGATAAGAATATCAGTTATTAATATATGGAGGTTATTGCCACGATTTAATCGTCTTTAGTTATCGTTAACCTTGTTTTATTACGTCATATAAATATCTGTAGAAATGAGCATAACTTTAGTATGGGAGTGACAGAAATGGGATGTTTTTATAACAAGTGGCCCGTTCTGCGTTTTCGCTAAAGATATTATTATTTTTAACCTTCGACGCAAAAAGAGGGTGTTATAAGTTTGACGTCGATGTCTGTCTGTGTGTGTGTCTGTCTGTGGCATCGTAGCTCTCAAATGGATGGACCGATTTCGATGCGGTTTTTTTCATTTGACAGCCAGTTACCTTGCGGTGGTTCTGTGGTATGTTTGGTTAATATCGGTCCAGCAGTGTAAGAGTATCAGCTGTTTTCCAAAATGATAGGCATTTTGGCGTATGATTACTCTAATTTTAAATTTTTAATTTATAATTATTACAATTACCTATGCGTTTTTACACAAAATTTTCCATATCCTTTATCGTTTGAATTGTCCCTCTTGTGAGTTGTTTCGAAGAAATATAGGTATCCTCTTTCATAGTCCAAAGTGTTAATACTTATATGTTCAGTGCACTCGGTGGTGTAGTGGCTAGCATGTACGGCTGCACACCCTGAGGTCCTGGGTTCGAGTCCCGGGTCGGGCCAAGTTTAGTTATTGAGTCTTTCTGTATAGTAAGCCTCAGTGACAGCCCGGAGTTGGGAAGTTGGCGGTGTTTCACCCCCGTGCCTCGGAGAGCACGTAAAGCCGTCGGTCCTGCGCCTTAACTCTCACTGGTCGTGTCGAGCAGTCGTCCCACCGGAGTATGAGAATGACAGGAATAGAGAGTGCACCTGTGCCTGCGCGTACACTTGTGCACTATAATATCTCCTGCGCAGTTGGCTAGTCTCGATGAGATTGGCCGCCGTGGCCGGAATCGGTCAGGAGAACATCACAATATGTAAAAAATAAAAACAAGCCAGATAGACAGAGTAAGTTAGTTTTGCAATTACAATATTACTAATATTATATACGCGAAAGCTTGTGAAGATGTATGGATGTATGTTTTTTACTCTTTCAAAGCAAACACTACTGAGCGGATTTTCATGAAACATTATAGTAATACAGCTTGTACATGTATTCGTAGGCTATAATTTATAAGGATATATTAATACATAATTACGCAGGCGGAGCCGCGGGAAAACGATAGTAATCAGATAATTTAAGCAATTTGAGAAATTACTATATTTATTTTGTGGCGTCACACGAGCTTTTTATTATCATTTACAAAAAAAAAATAAGGTCATGACCTCTCTCTCCTTCTATAATAAAGTGCGTAATTTATAGTTATAATATGTAAACTGTAAACAAGATGTCATCAATGTTGACAAAAAAGTTTTTACGCTATATGTAATTTAGAACTTTAATTTAAATTAATTAAGAACTTTAAATATTTACTGTTATCATTTGTCGAGTAAAATTAAAAAGGAAAAGGAAACCACTACTTTTAAGCCTATTTTTCACATTTTAATTGACCTTTACGGATTTTATCGCAGTTTTATTTTTGATTTTTTTTTGTTCCGAAAGCTTTGAATGCTTTACAGCAAACATGGTCACGGTTGCCTCAAAAGGCATGAGATATATATATATATATATATATATATATATATATATATGTATATATATACATATACGGTAGATAATATATAAGTTATTACGGACGGCATTTATCCATAAAATTATATAATAACTTGTAATTTTTCAAATTTCATCATTTTTTCTGTTTCTTCCCAATTATTGTTAATTTTGCGTTCTTATTAATGATATAATCCTAAAAAAATCTTGTTTAAACTATCAAACCCTAAACACCAAATGTATTGGATTCGTAACAAACAAAATGAAGTCAAATTCAACGGACTTTATAGCAGCGAAAGTTTTACTATTCCCGATCACGTAAACTACACCAACAGATCCGTTCGGTAATTCTAAAATATTAGTAAATTCGATGGCAATACACGTACAATTGTCATCAAAATCAATCCAAAAGTTTCAAACCGAAAGACAATGCTTACGATTTTTTTACCTAAAAACATACAAGTGAAGCTAGAAAAAGCCAAAAATTATATTCAATGTTCTCTCTACCTTATATTGTTTAAAGGAACTAGGTTAAGGTCAATCCATCTCATTGATATGCGTTTTTACTGTATTGGCTTGAACAATTTTCCTTATCATTACCTTAAAATTATTGTAGGTACCTAATATAGTTTAACTGGTTTTATTTTAAGTAAATAAACGTAATATATCTACAGTAAAAAGCTATGTTATTACATATGTACATACCAAGGCTGTATCATATTATGACAAAGAAAACCGCAAGTAGGTACGCCCCTAGTGACCCTCATCATCATGGTCTTCGCATTCATAATACTGTGAATTCTCTCAGAAGGGGCGATTTTTTGTGTTTTTGTGTGCCTATGGTTATAGGTCCCTTTATCTATTAAAGAAAATTAAAAACTATATGAAAATCTGTACAGGAATTACGAAGAGCACAAATAAAATCTGCCTTTGGGCCTCACAAGTCAGCATATAAAAAAACAAAATTAATATTTTAATAGGAATGATTTTATAAGACTTATTATACAATGTCGACGAGCTACGCTCACTCTTTCTTGGTCAAAAATAACACGTATATATACACTTAAAAAGCAAAACCTTGTCTAAATACAAAATTTGAACCAAATCATTATAGTTTTCGAGATACACGAAATAAAATATATAGTATATAAGAATTGCTCATGTAATATTATAAGACAAATTGGAATTAATACGAGTTAATTCATAATATAATAAACCAGTTTCTAATTTATATATGTATAGTCTATGAATGCTCTTATTTCTAGGTCAAACTGTATACTCTCAAGGCGCTGCAGCAACACCCGTGCCATTATTGAATGCTATGACTGAAGTCGGTAAAGCTGGCTCTTTGAGAGATATCAAAGTGGTGCACATGCACACTGAGAAAGATGCCGCGTATGTCGCACCGGAATGCAAGGATATATTTAGGTAACGTAGAAATCTATACATATAATAAAATTGTAACTAATCCGAATCTGTACATTAAATATTTTTTGGAAAATCTCGTTGAAATAAACATAATTATCGATACAGAGGCCGAATCTATAGTTTTTAGAATTTTTGTATGTCTGTCTGTCTGTCTGTTACCACATCACAGAAGAACTACTGGAGGGATTTTGATGAGATTTGGTATGATGGTAGTTGGTTATCCGGGTCAACATATAGGATACTTTTTACCGCGGGAAAATATCTCATTTAAGTGAAAAAATACAAAAAAATGCAATGTAAGAGTATAGTAGTATACCAATATGTAAAACCTAATAATTTGGTTTTTGGTCATCTGAACGCGGGCGGAGCCGCAGGTAGGTCTGGTACGTTTTAACGGTTAGCGTGGAATAGATACAACTTGTTTCCCCGTAAGAACGAAATAATCTCCCGCGGTAAAAAGTAGCCTATGTCACTTTCCAGCCCTTCAACTATCTTCACACAAAAAACACGACAATCTGGAACTTTATTTCGACGTGAAAAAAGGTCAAACAAACAGACAAATAAAGTCAACGTCAAATTGTTTATCGTAGAATTACCACTCAATCTCATTCGTGTCTTCCTCACAAAACGTGACACTGGCAGAATGGATTGCGTCTGTTAACGCAACTATAAGCCAATAAAAAAAAAGAAAATGTCAAATATACAAATGCATTCAAGTAAAGTCTGATTTTTAATTCCACGGAAATATGACAGCAGTTATTCTTTGACAATTCAGATTTCATAAACATTTTCTTCTTTAATTTTTTTTTAATATAAAATAATGAAGAATATGAAACAGAATTAGATCAAGTAAACTATATGGATGACATTGTAAATAGTCTTTGTTTTGTGCGTTCAATGCACACTAACAGCTATAATTAAAATGTTTAATGATTAAATGAAAAAAACAGAGTAAAACATAATATTTCTGAAATGAAAATATTTATTAATCATTATCACTTATATCATCATTATCGTCATCATTATCCACTCGGATTATAAAACAATAACGCACTATCCATCAGATCGTTAAGGGGGCACATTTTATTTTTACGAACAAAGGGGTTTTACTAAAAAAGGCTTGCCACCTATGGATTGTTGGACAGGGATTCCTGTAAGAGAAAAATAATTCCTTAATAATTATTGTTAATTCAATAATATGATAATAAAAAAAATAATTACCATTTTACAGTCTTAGTTTTTCTAACCAAAACCTTAAATTCAAGAAAGGTTTATTTTTTTTATTTTGCTAAAAGGCTTTCCGTTTTTAGTGACTATGTTTCAAAGTTGACAACACTTCCGAAATGTCAGAATTCCATCGAATTAAAAATCAGTCTAGTTTATGTTAATTTTAAGGTTGTGTTGATAATTATAATTTAGTATTAAGGAAAAAGAAAAATGTGATTTTTACACTTTTCTGTTATTTTTTTTCTAATTTTTCTCTTCTTATGAACCTTCCCCGGACTTAGCGAATGTTTGCAAAAAAATTTTTGGGCAATTAGTCCAGCCATTATCGAGTTTTGAGCTTCGCAACATTCATTTTTATTTATCTAGATATAGCCTATAGCCTTCCTCAATAAACGGGCTATCTAACGCAAAAAGAATTTTTCAAATCGGATTAGTAGTTCCTGAGATTAGTTCGTTCAAACAAACAAACAAACTCTGCCTCTTTATAATATTAAGTATACATTGGTTGAGGACACAAAGGGTTTATAATCATCTCAATACCAATACCGTTTAGTATATAGGCGATATTACATAATCCATTACAATTATCATAGTAGGTACTATCTAAATATTGTATGAATACGTCCGATAACGTTTATTCTTCTCATATCATTGACAATTTTATCATGGAATTTAGATTGTACAAGTGCCAAATTGCTATTTGTTTGTTGGCATGTAAAATAAATAATTTTTGTGCACTTACGAGAATTCCTAGGATGAATATTTTAGGGTATAGTTTTTGTGGTCATATTTCGATCACTATGGCAAATCTCACTGAAAATAGCCATCGATGAGAGATATATTATAGCACCCAAGTGCGTTAACATAAGAGATCAAAGCTACGGCTTTACGAGCTATAAAATTATAGGCACATTGGGAACTATTTCCATCCCAAACCCAAGCTGCTACTGACAATTTTAAGTCTTATTGGCCCACTAGGGAATATGGCGTTTTATTTTAAATTTTTAATACAATAGGTAAAAAAATATCCAGCTCCAAAAAACTAAAATTTTGTATAAAAAAAATAACTAGAAATATGAGACCGATGCGGATTCTTTAATCGCCCGCCATTTCGCACGCTTAGCGTGACGTCACAGTACCATATACACAAAAATGACGACTCACTTTGTAGCGCCATAATCGCTAATCGGTCTGTCATGATAATAGTTTGACGTCATAATCGCGGTCGGACCAATGGCGTGGGTTTCAACTACTTTGAATTTTCCACCTATATTTGCACTTTTTAATAATTATTTTCTTAATCAAAAAGAAATTATATAACAAAATATTAATATAGGCTTAATTCAAAATCAATAAAGATTATAAAAAAAAATAACCTTTATTTAAATCACACCCATATTCTCTATTGTCCATTTAAATAGAATAAATCTAAATACAATGTAAGAATATTTATTTAAATTCACAAAAATACAGTTACCTCAGTTAATATAAACTATAAGTTACATAACATTTGGATATTTAGTTTAAATATAGGGGACCTTTAAATGCGTATTGCTGCTATCTTCATATCGTTCCAGCTATATATTATTAAAATTAGACTGTGATAATAGACAACACAGCACAGACAGCACAGACAGACAAACAAAACCCTAAAAATAAGCAAAAATAAAATTACAGCTTTTAAAAAAGCCAACATTATGCCCAGAGATTTCAAACCTTTTAAGGTATTTCGAGTTAGACGGTTAAAAATTAACTATATTTTATTATATATCTATATTTTATTTTATATTCAATTAACTGTATATAGAAGTATCATTATATTAACAAATCTATGTTAATGTTCGATGTTCTCTCCTGACCGTTTCCGGCCACTGCGACCAATCTGATTGAACTGCGCAGGAGATGCGAGGCATGAGGGTGAAACACCGCCAACTTCCCAACTCCGGGCTGTTACTGAGGCGTACAGAAATACTCAATAACTAAACTTGGCCCGAGCCGGGACTTGAACCCAGGACCTCCGGGTGTGCAGCCGTACATGCTAGCCACTATACCTCCGAGGCAATTATAAATAATATAAATTATAATATATATGTACTAATATTATAAAGAGGCAGTTTGTTTGTTTGATTGAACGCGTTAATCTCAGGAACTAACTAATTTGATTTGAAAAATTATTTTTGCATTAGATAGCCCGTTTATTGAGGAAGGCTTACAGGCTATATATCATACAATATACTCGTATGTCTATCTATTCTATAATAACCGTTGAAACGTACGTAGTAGTTATTTTTAAAAAGTTTTAAAATCTACACACATAATTAATTTTCATTACGCATAATTCATAAATTTTCATGAATTCGTGATATTGTTATTTAAATTTATTACAGTTGGCTCTTCGAACTACTCCCTGTGAATACTTGTGTACACACGTGATAGAACTTATTAAATAATAATAATATAATAATAAATGTTTTTATTTCAGGCTTATTCGCCAATATAAAATGTCTACAATATAGTTACAATAAAATTATGATAGAATATATACATAAAAACATCAATATACTATTACCTACTTTTTATTTCTACCGCATTGCTGTGTCAACCAATGCCTGAGAAAGTCAACACTCAAGTACTCGCCCATTACACGTAGAATCTCATTATTAGAGTTACGTAGTCGATCCCAGAATGCAGCAATTCTGGAACGGACCACCGCAAAAAAATCTGGTATCCTGGCTGAAGCAAACATATCAGATGCGCTACAGAACCTCGGTAAATTCATCAAAGTCCGGTAAGCATCATTGTACTGAACTCTGATGGTGCTGTACGCGTGCCTCGTATAATTGAACCACAGTTGACATGTATATAAATTCTGACAGTATGTTTTAAACAGAGTAGTTTTTACGTCCTGGTTACAACGAGAAAACCTGCGCGCAATCATGTTACATCTCACAGCAAGGGCTCGACGCTCACGTTCTATATCACTGTCATCTTGGAGATTCTCCGTTAACAAATGGCCCAGATACTTGAATGTTGACACTCTTAGGATTGGTTTACCGTCAATAAATACAGAGGGCACCACATCCGGACCCCTTCTACTCTTAAAAACCATAAATTCAGTTTTAGACACATTGTATTTAAGTCCATGACTTAAAGCGTATTTTTCACAAATACTTAATAGTTGTCTAAGACCACCGATAGAGGGACTGAGTAGCACCATATCATCGGCATAACTTAAATTATTTATGCACACACCACCGACGTGACAGCCAACGTTTGTGCTTCTCAGTTCCTCTATCAGATTATTTACATAAACATTAAAAAGATCCGGTGATGTAAGCCCACCTTGACGAACGCCACACTCTAGCCTATAGTCGTTAGAGAGTGCGTCGCCCCATCTCACATTATTCGTTTGGTTTTCGTACCAATATTTCAATAACTTAATAGCACTTACCGGTACTTTGTATTTATTTAGTTTTAACCACAATATTTTATAGTTTACCAAATCGAAAGCCCGGCTAAGGTCTAAAAAACAGGCATATACGTTAGTATCTCTACTTGTGTAATATTTTATTGTATTTTTAAGACTAAAGATTGCTGATTCTGTTGAAACACTGGGACGAAAACCAAACTGAGCATCATTTAATGTTACATTCTCCGCAATATGCGGATGTAATAGTCTCTCAAATATTTTACCAATTATACAACCTAGTGAAATAGGCCTATAATTACTTAGTTTAGTTAGATCACCAGTTTTATTCTTTGGAACAGGCACAACTACAGTTCTCATAATACTTTTAGGCAAATAGTTAAACTTAATACATAAATTAAAAAACGTACATAACACTCTATTTATTTCATCACTTGCATAATACAAGTGCTCTATGCTCAATCCGTCGTGTCCTGGGGACTTTCCACGCTTCATATATTTTATAACTTTAGCAACGTCTTTAGGTAGAAACTGTATATTTTCCTGTTCCAAAGAGAAGGAATCATTTTCATTTTGTATTCCCTGTATAGGCATAGGTTCTACTTTAAAATTTTTTGCAAACATGTCAGCGATTTGTTTAGGTTCATGTATTCCTTCAACATGTTGTGGAAGCCGAGATCTATTTTGAGAGCATTTTGTTGCCTGCCAGAATTTTTTAAAATCTTTATTTGCTTTATGAGTAGCTATAATATTCATTTTAATCTGATCGCTATTATTTTGACACCATTTGAGCTTGTTTCTAAAAATTTTACGACTATTTATCATTTCATTGTAAATTGAACCGGAAGTTGGTTTGCCACTTAATAACCAACACGAATAATGAAATCTAGCTATCTTATGGCTTTCACTAACATGATAGTTCCAACCTACCACCTTTTTACTTTTTTTTATTATTATTAGAAAAACTAAGTTCAGAAGCTTTTTGTAAAATAAAAATAATTTGATCATAATATTTATCTATTAAGTATAAATGTTCAGTGCAAGTAAAATTATCACAGTTAATACATTGACTAGAAAAAAATATCTTTTTAAAATTTTCACTACAATACTTACCATAAAGATTAATTTGTTGTGTGTTACGTTGGCCCCATTTAATCTTACTTATTAAACTCGCTTCAGACTCACAATTAATTTTACTTACAACTACGTCACATTTGCATGAAATTAAAAGAGGAAAATGATCCGACCACCCGACATCGCATTTGATAGTCACAGAATTTACAATGTTACGCGCCGCCACAGTTCCTATACAGTGGTCTAACCACCGTGTCACACCGTTCACACCGTGTCACACCGATTAAAGTCGTTAAATAAATAAAATGTTGATTTTAAAGCAAAAAATAGGATATTTGCTGATAATTTTTTTCAACATTTTTACCCTTTAATTATATATTTTAATATTTGAGACATTTCAAATCAGATGTCCACAATTAATTTTATTATAGAAATAAACAAATAAATATGTTCGGACTTTAATACAGCACCATCTAGTGCCATGGTAAGCTACGACGCTTGTGTTATGGATACACATATATATTACTTTAAATACATACATATTATAAATATAAAAACCCATGACTGGAGTACAAACATTTGCGTTGATCACACAAATAAATGCCCCCAGCGGGACTCAAACCCTCAAACCCGCGACCGCTGGCACAGCAAGTAGTGTCACTACAAACAGCCAAACGTGTCGTCATATAAATATTAAGATTAGGTATTAATCCTCTGACCATAGCTTTAATACATTAACGCGTTGCCATTACTGTTTGATAAACACCAAAAATTGTCAAAGGAGGGTCTCCTATCAATTCTTATTGGGACTCATTTTATGATCTAAAATATATCAATTAACTGTATGTAGAACCTGACTCCTGGCATACAGGTTTATTCTAGTTTTGAGTCAGAGGCTTCAACAAGCTTATGTAAATACAAAGAATTTTGTCAATAAAGATATTCTATATTCTATTCTATTAATTCAGAATTTCGTATCATTAATCCATAAGACCGTTTAGTAACGTCCGACTTACACAAAATCTAAAATTCATACAGTTCGCCCCAGTTCCATTCAGTCACGATACAGCACTTGATGGTACGAAAACGAGCGTTTCCGTTTAAGAATATTAACTGAACTGTACCAGAAATAAGGCACTATGTAAAGTTGATGGTAATTAAAGACAAAAACAGTCTTTAAAAATGTAGATTTCGTAGTTTATTTGATTCGATTAATTATATACAGTGTCGACTTAAATATTCAGCGAACTTATGTACCGTGTTCTAATTATATGCTTTTGCTTTGGAAAATTCAGAGTCTTAACTTCTAAATACACGTTTCAGATCTGTGTCACTATTTATGGCGGCGAATGTAAGGAAATCAGTGGCAGAGGGACGCTCAGATGCGATCCCAATCTTCCTTCAGGATATCCCCAAGCTATTCCACAGGAAGATAATCCAGCCCGATATTGCTGTTATTCAGGTTAGTTTCTAAAAGAAAATACAATTATACTGCACCAATGCTAGATAAAAAGTGGGACTATAATCTAAAATTTAACTTTTTTGAAGTTTGACACATTTTCAATACAAACATAAAGACAAGAAATTAAATGAACACCCCCAACGCAATAACCTATTCATTGAGGCCATTTGAGCTTAATCCCTCCACGACCGCGGACACGCCGGCGTGTCAGTTAACAATAGATTTCTTAGAATTTTAATTGTTTTCTTAGAAATTTCCTGGAGGTGTTCACGATATCTCTGCAGTATTTGAGTAAAGAGTTGAGTATCTTGCAGATTTCAGGTGGCGCTGCCCATCATCATGCATCAGCCCAATGTTACCTTATCGTTGCAATGTAATTGAAGTCTTTAAATTGTCTAGAAAAGAGTCAGTAGCTTCCAAACGGCTGAACCGATTTTATTGATTTATAGCTAAGAACACTCGATCAAGTCACCTTTCAAACAAAACAAACTAAATTAAAATCGGTTCATCCGTTTGGGCGCTACGAAGCTACAGACAGAGACACAGATACACAAATACACATGTCAAACTTATAACACTCCTCTTTTTTGCGTCGGAGGCTAAAAAACGAAACAGAATTTCTCAACAAACCAATTTTTGCCGAAACCTAATTCTTGATAGTTACTTTATTAACAAAGGCCACTTCTCTTTACATTACTGCTATCAAAACATCGATTAAAAATATTTTGTACAATGCAAACTTGCTTTGCATGCGCAACTGTATTCACGCTAACGTAATTTTGCGCACAAAAGCGAAATAATTGTGCGCTGATTGTATGTAGTTGAAGCTAAATTTCCGTTTCATGATCTTTGAGGAGGCTGTTCAACACGTTGTTGTTTTTGATTATATAGATTAGTAGCATTGACCGCGGCTCCGTCCGTCCGCGTTCAGATGACCAAAAATCAAATTCTTAGGTTTTACATATTAGTATACTCTTACACTGCAGTTCTTGTATTTTTTCTCAGAAATGAGACATTTTCCCGTGGTAAAAAGTATCCTATATGTTGACCCGGATAACCAGCTACCACCATACCAAAATTCATCAAAATCCCTCCAGTGGTTTTTCTGTGATGCGGTAACAGACAGATAGGTATACAGACAGACAGACAAAAATTCTAAAAATTATAGATTCGGCCTCTGTATCGATAATAATGTTTGTTTCAATAAGATTTTCCAAAAATACTTAATGTTCAGATTCAGCTTAGTTACAATTTTATTATATGTATAGATTAAATATGAGTTATTTTTCATAATGCTATGTATGTATACTCTTTACTATTAATTCTATAGTAGGGAGAAGCGAAAATTTTTTATTTGTTTCTTAGGTTGGAGGTAGAGTTTATAACTTATTAAAAGAAAATTACTTAACATTTTAAGGTGACCCACAGATTTTTAAAATAAATAAGTTAATTTAAATTTTTAGCTTGAATGAATTTTTTTTCGACTGATCGTCTTGAAGAACATTCAAGAATTGACGAATATATAGTCATTTCTACCCAAGTTTCACTGTCTGCCTGCCTTAAAAAATTCGTTCTCTTTAAATATTTAATGAAGTTTAATTTTTAATTTTAATTCAGTTCATTTGAATTGTTAATGGTTTTTAAGCGTATTAGTATCGCATAATTTATCTTTTCAACGTATTAACGCACTTCAAATCTAATATATAAATATCTCGTGTCACGGTGTTTGTGGTCGCACTCCTGCGAAACGGTTCGACCGACTTTAATGATTTTTTTGGTATATTTGGTAGGTATGAGAATAGGTTTTAAAGTATTTTTTCACTCTCCTACCCCCACCCCCCATTTTTTAAATCGCGATTTTAGTATTTTTGTATGAACAATATTATATAAATATTATTGTATAACATAAAGTCAAAGAGGTTTTTTTATAGATTGAATGCGGGCATAGCCGCGGGTTCTGCTAGTGATATTTTTTAGATACAGGAACTGTTTTCAAAAACCTCGATGACTTAATAAATATGTATTATGACTTTGTTAGATTGCACTTTGGCTTATTATAATGAAATCGGCAATGTCTGCACTGTTTATAGCAGAATGCATAATAAGCCCTAGTTATGCTATTAAATGTTCCATGGTAAGCTCGAGGCTTGTGTTACGGATACCAGATAGTTGATACACTACACATATATAACTTTAAATACATACATATTATAAATATAAACACCCATGACTGGAGTACAAATATTCGTGCTCATCACATAAATGAATGCTCCCAGCGGGACTCGAACCCGCGACCGCTAGCACAGCAAGTAGGGTAGGGCACTACCTACAAACTGAGCCAAACGTGTCGTCAAATTATGATATAAACATAATTTTATAGCCATTCGTTGATCACTAACATCTAAACTCGGCCGAGCCTGTATCCTAGATGTTAGTTCCTTCCAGTGAAACAGAATTAGTGCACATTTAATATACGAGTAAACAAGAATACTTAATGTTACTTATACACACAAAATAAAACGCACGTAAGAAGTTATACTTCTTCGGCGTAACAGAACAAAAATAGCTAAAGATTTCATCCCGTATGTCACAACTCTCTGTTTGTTAAAGGAATGCAGCTAACATGTCGCTTTCAGCTAACTTCATCATGCCGCATTTTTGGGTGCCGGTGTGCGCAGCGTAAAAAAAAATTTCTCATATATTTTTCCAAACGTGCCCAAAAGAAAAATAACTTTAATAATCGTCAGGCGACAAGTATTGTAACGCGCGTCACTCGATCAAAGAGTAACTACATAAACTAAGGACCTCGGCACTTTAAACATTTATTTATTTTATAATTTTATTATTTTTTATTATATTAATTTAATTAAATGTCATTCGAGTAATTTAGTTAGCTATGATTTTATTATAGATCATTTTCTATTATTTAATTTAAGGTTTCCTTTTATGGTTTACAAGAAACTATCAAGATAAAAATTAAAATAAAATACTTTATGTACTTTATATATTAATCGAATAAGATCAATCAAAATGTACATATAAACTATGAATATAATATCTATTTATGTGTACTTACATACATATATATTTTTGTTCCTATTAAGGTTTCTCCCCCAGACCAGCATGGATATTGCAGCTTGGGTACCTCAGTCGACTGCGTGCGGGCCGCTCTAGTCAACTCTAAAATAATTATTGGTAAGATTTTTGTATATTTACTTTTGTATATTATATTTTTGTATATTATATTTTTGTATATTATATACTAGTATGCCCGCGGCTCCGCCCACGTTCAGATGACCAAAAACAAAATTCCTAGGTTTCGCATATTAGTATACTCCTATATTGCAGTTTTTGTAATTTTTCTCAGAAATGAGACATTTTCCCGCGGTAAAAAGTATCCTATATGTAGACCCGGATAACCAGCTATCATCATACCAAATTTCATCAAAATCTATCCTATGGTTTTCCCGTGGTGCGGTAACAGACAGACATAAAGACAAACAGACAGACAAAAATTCTAAAAACTATAGATTCGGCCTCTGTCGATAATAATGTTTGTTTCCATAAGATTTTCCAAATAATATTTAATGTACAGATTTGACTCATAATTTTATTATATGTATAGACTAGTGGCTCACCCTCGCTCCAAACAGAGCAGTAATCATAAATGTCAAGAAATTGGGCAGACTTCCATACATTATTGTAAAGGGAAAGGAAATAATAGTTTGTTTTTTGTACTTTAAACGCGGGTGAAGTCGCGGATTCCGCTAGTATTGAGTATATAAGTTTGTACGTCTTTTATAGATAATTTTCGGAACTTATCAGTCAATTCTAAAAAATCTTTTACTAATAGCAAGCTAAAGTGCCTCTGAGTTACATAGATAATTTTTTATTCTGCGTATGAAGTGGTTTGTATAGAATATATCGCAAAAAAATACTGATAAAGTCGATTATTTGTTGGTTATTTTTTTAATTATATTGACCAATTTCAAAATTGGTCCAGCTGTTGTATGTTATTTTTTGTGTATATTATTACGCGATTCGACAATTGAAAATCGATTTTTATTTTATTATTATTTATATAAATAGGTTTTACTTTAAAGGTTAGTCTCGTAAACATTTAAAAAAAAATGTGCCTAATGCTTGTCTTATTTGCTCGATTTGGCGGACAGGTTCGTTTTGAAAGTGATGTTCATTTACCTGCGTGACCGAGATTCGATCGGATTTTTTTTACCGTTAAAACGTGTTTGTTCTAGAAAAGACTAAACTTAAAAAGCAAAATCTTATCTAAATACTAAATTTCATCTAAATCGTTAGAGCCGTTTTTGAAATACAGTAAATTATCTATACAGAAAAATAAAATTGAAGTGTCTGTTTATGTCTGTCTGTCTGTTTGTTCCGATTAATCTTCGAAACGGCTGGTGCTATATGATATAGCTGATGTTATAAGGAGTAACTTTAGCTACTTTTATTTTAGAAAAAGAATTAGGGTTCCGTTAAAAAAAATTAAAACGTACTTAGGGACGCACCCGAGCAAAGCCATGTCATTAGTATAAATATATAAGATTTGCTAATTTAATAAGATGATGATGATGTTCTCCCGACCGATTCCGGCCACGGCGGCCAATCTCATTGAGACTAGCCAACTGCGCAGAAGATATTATAGTGCACAAGTGTACGCGCAGAAACAAGTGCACTCTCTATTCCTGTCACTCTCATATTCAGGTGGGACGACTGCTCGACACGACCAGTGAGAGTTAAGGCGCAGGACCGACGGCTTTACGTGCTCTCCGAGGCACGGGGGTGAAACACCGCCAACTTCCCAACTCCGGGCTGTTACTGAGGCTTACTTATACAGAAAGACTCAATAACTAAACTTGGCCCGACCCGGGACTCGAACCCAGGACCTCCGGGTGTGCAGCCGTACATGCTAGCCACTACACCACGGAGGCAGACAAATATACAGATATATAAGAGTAGAGTTTAAGCTAATTCAAACTCTTGGATTTAACTATTATATTTTGTTATATTTTCAACCAATTACAATACAGTTACGTAAATTTAACCAATAAATCTATAAATCTTAACTCCAGCTCAGATCAACGTGAACATGCCTCGTACATTCGGTGACGCCATCATCCACGTGTCCCACGTAGACTACGCGGTGGAGGACAACACGCCGCTGCCCGACCACGGCGGGAAGGGCGGCAGTCCTGAGGAGACGAAGATCGGTCAGCTGATTGGAGATAACCTGGTGGAAGATGGTGCTACTTTGCAGATGGGTATGTACTGGTCCGCCAACACGCACTTGCCCAGCGTGGCGGACTATGACCTGATCCCCTCGTACTAAATGGAGGCCCGTGCCCAGCAGTGGGACGTTAAAAAGGGCTGAATACATACATGTACTAGGGTTTGAGTTCCGGGACGTTTCTTGTCTCGAAGTTTCGGGACTTGTTGTTGTCTCGGTTCCCGAGACTTTCGGGTAGATCGTGACACTTTTTAACTATGAATTTGAGTAAAACTGCACTTATTGCGTTTGCGGAAGAACTGTATTGCAGATTTTTTATCCGACTGTCAAGGAAGAATTATGTTTTTCGCGCGCATCCAAACGACTGGATGGATTGCTACAGTTAAGGTATCGTCAGATAACTCTTAAAAAACCTTTTAAATGTCCTTAGATACGTGATTTTTTTTATATAAATGGCTGATTTTTGGCGTCAATTTGCGTGTTTTGAAAAAAAAAATTTTCGTCCGCATCCATTGAGTGGGATATCAAAATACAGGGTTTTAAGAGGCGATTACAAAAATATACAGAACATATTTATATGTTTAAAAGTAAGAAGGATAAGAAATTATTAAATAAAAAAAACCAAGACTAAAAAGGTGTAAATAAAAAATTAATTTACAAAATTAATAAAATCCGACTGCGTAAAAAGCGAACTAAAAAGAAGACACCAAGTGTATGAAGGAAAATAGTATTATGCAGTCGGAGACATACATATGTACAAGTTTTCTAATAGCTGCGTGTGTATGTATATATAGGTCTCGGAGTGCAAAGAATTCTGAAAGATAGTATTATTTAAATTCGTCAAATAATGAAATTAAACCTTAGAAAGTAAAAAATCTGTATATACAAATTGTTCCAGGTATTGGCAATATTCCGGATGCTGTGCTCTCCGCTCTGAAGAACCACAAGGACCTGGGAATACACTCAGAGATGTTCTCTGTGGGTGTAATAGACTTGGTCAAACGCGGGTGTGTCACTAATAATAAGTGAGTGTGTTACTAATTGATGTTTATTTAGCCATTTTTAATGTCTCACTGCTGGGAGTGGCTTACCTAATACGAGGGGGATCAGGCCATAGTCCCCCACGCTGGCCAAGTATAAGTAATTGCAATATATTTTAATGTCTTAAGCACCTACAGAACTCAAATATCTCACACATATATATTTTTATTTTTTATATACCAAATTACTAACTCCAATGTTATTTAAATATTATTATACTAGTCCAGAAAAAATAATGATATTTATTTACAATTAATTATAATGAATTAGGTGTACATTTTTTTTTTATATTAATATATTTTTTTTTGTTATTTATTATTATTAATTATTATTTACAGGAAGAAAACTCACAAGGGCCGTATCGTGGGAAGCTTTTTAGTGGGCAACAAGGAGTTGTATGACTTTGTGGACAACAATCCTTTCATTGGTGAGCCATACAACAATGTTATTTAGTTGAAATTTACTGAAATAAAATAAATAAATATGTTGGGATATTAATACACAGCACCATCTAGTTCCATGGAAGGTTACGAACGAGGCTTGTGTTATGGATACCAGATAGTTGATACACTAGACATATATAATTTTAAATACATACATAATAATTAATTATAATTTATAATGTAGACTAATATTATAAAGAGGTAAAGCTTGTGAGTTTGTGAGTTTGTGGGAATAATCTCTGGATCTACTATACCAATTTAGATGAAACTTGATAAGAAGATAGTTTGAGACCCTGGGAAGGATATAGGATACTTTTTATCCCGGAAATAATCCATTAAGGTGATGAAAATGGGGATGAAAGTTTGTATGGGGAATCAACCTAGGGACGAACCCGAGTGAAGCGAGGGTGAGTCGCTAGTTATAAATATGTATAAACAACCATGACCGGGAGTACAAACATTCGTGCTCATCACCCAAATGAATGCCCTCAGCGGGACTCGAACCCGCGACCGCTGGCACAGCAAGTAGGGTTACTGCGATAACGTTAACTTTCTAACACCCCACTTTTTGCGTGTGGGGCTAAAACGTTACTATTATTAACTTTAACATTTTTTTATGCACTAATAATTTTTTTATTTGACATGTTTTATTACAGAAATGCTGGAAATCGATTATGTGAACAACACTCACATAATTTCCCAGCAACCCACCATGACAGCTATCAACTCTTGCATCGAGGTGGACTTGACTGGACAAGTCTGTGCCGATTCTATTGGTAAGTACATAATACTTTCTTAGATATAGAGATAGTTTAAAAGCTGGAGAGTGACATAGGCTACTTCTTACCGCGGTAGATTATGCTACGAGAAAACAAGTTATAACACAACCCACAACAACTCATCATACCTATGTATATGTATAATATATAGTCTATCTATTCCATACTAACCGTTACAAAACTTATAACGAGAACGGCTGGATCGATTTGTATGATCTTTGATTTGTTGGATTTGTTTGTTTGAAATATTCACGAAATTTTCTTTTCAATGTTTATATGGCTAACGCTGGCTAATAACTATTTGTATCATTATTCATAGGAAGAAGCGGGCCATTCCCAACACAAGAGTATCCTCGGATTACTTACTGGGAAGACTCGAACACAAAATGTAAAGATGATTAAGAAATAAAAACTATTTTTTTTTATATCAATTTCAAATGTACCTAGTAATGACCCCAGCGAAGCGAGATTGAGTCGCTAATAAATATATATGTTCCATCCAGGTACTAGAATGTTCTCGGGCTTCGGCGGGCAGGTGGACTTCATCCGTGGCGCGGCGGAGTCTCTGGACGGGCGCGGGAAGCCCATCATCGCTATCGTATCCAACACCAAGCGCGGCGAGTCCAAGATCGTGCCCACGCTGAAGATTGGTAAGTGCAGGATTATTATAATTTACTATGAGTCCTGACCGACTTCGGTCACGGCGGTCAATCTCATTGAGACTAGCCAACTGCAGGAGATATTATAGTGCAGATACAACGTGTACTCTCAATTTCTTTTCCTCTCAAAGTCCGATGGGACGATACGTCGACACGACCGGTGATAGTTATGACGCAGGACCGTAAAGCCGTCAGTGCACTGTCTCGGCACGTGGGTGCAACACTGCCTGCTTCCCAACTCTTACCTGTTACTGAGAATATATTCAGAAACAATCAAAAAATATACTTGGTCCGACCCGAGACTCGAACCCAGGACCTGCAGATCTGCAGCCGTACATGCTAGACACTAGACCACCGAGGCAGTTATAGGACTATTATGTGTGTTTGTGCATGAACTGCCTCGCTTGTGTACTAGCTAACATGTACGGCTTGTATATCCGGAGGTCCTGGGTTCGAGCCCCGATTCGGGCTAAATATATTTGTTGAGTGTTTTTGTTAAACAAATCCTAGTAACAGAGAGAGTTATAAAAATGGTGTTGTTTCACCCCCGTGCTGACGCAGAGCAAGTGTCACGTCCTGATTTCGTCCCGATTTTTAAACGCGCAGTGCGCTAGTCTCAGTGTCAGTCAATATTATATTTTTTAAAGATATACTACGTTAAAGAAACAAAGAAAATATTTTTATACTGCAAAATTAATATAAATAAACAATTTCACAGGTGCTGGCGTAGTAACTACTCGTGCCCACGTCCACTACGTAGTGACAGAGCAGGGTATTGCAAATCTATTCGGCAAAACTCTAAGACAACGTGCCTATGAATTAATCAAGATCGCCCATCCAGACCATCGCGAGTCCCTTGAAAAGGCCGCATTTGAACGCCTTAAATGTATGCCTGCCCCTTAAAAATTGTAAATTTATTATATTGTGCCAGTTCGCTACAAAATCGTTTAATTGGCTTGTTATAGTAATGTTACTAGAAACAGTCGTCAAACTGACTCGAAATTTTAATAAATTGTATTATTATTATAATTTCTTTTGTAAACTGCAAGTTATTTTATTTTTATTTACATTGTATTCTTGTAACGCTTATTTATAGTGGATATTGGTACGAATGTGTAGAGGTAGCATTACTTTTTAGTAAATGTTGCCATGTTACAAAATTAACTAGTATATGGTAGTTCTCAGAAATTACTGTTAGAAATAACGTGTTTAGAAAGTTATATTATTTTGAACTGTATGAAATTCGAATTTAAAATGCATTTTATAATTTTTTTTTAGATATTTGTATTATTATCTGTTTAAATGTAACAATATAACTGTTATCATGTATAAAGTGTATGTGATGCACTTGCAAATAGAGATTTAAGCCTAATTTCACAAGGTATTTATTTTTATGCTTTTAGTATATTTGGTATTGACGGCCTTTTTTATATATATTTTGTAACAGATTATGTTAGTGTTAAAACTATGAAATAAATGTTTAATTATATCCTTGTATGTTTTTTGTTTTCAGTTTTCACTTTTAAGACAATCTCTATATCGAGCTCAATGTTCATACACATCTATTTTTTGGATAAATAAATATAATTAATTAAATATTTTGGGGCTGTGTTAATACACAGCACCATTTAGTTCCATGGTAAGCTACGAGGCTTATGTTATGGATACCAGATAGTTGATACACTACACACATATATAACTTTAAATACATACATGTTATAAATATAAGCATCCATGACTTTAGTACAAACATTCATGCTCATCACACAAATGAATGCCCCAGCGGAATTCTAACCTGCGACCGCTGGCACAGCAAGTAGGGTCACTAAAACTGAGCTAAACGTGTCATCAAAATAGGTTTTATTGTAGTCAAAAAATAAAACAGATATCGTAATTTAAATAAATCTCTGCGAAAAGCCATAAAGAGGGTTGTGACCTGTATGTATGTATGTATGGTTTCTTTTCTTTATTTTAAATTGTTAAAGAAATTATCCACCTAGTCTGGTTTCCCCAATGGATTTTTTTATTAATTATTAAGCTTTGAACCGTTATTTGAAGCCTAAATTAAATATTTGAGAGAGAGGCTAACTTGATTTCCGGTAACGCGTCAGTTTTTTTCTCGAATTCTCATTGGTCGTTCCCCACCATTTTAGTTCCCTCATTGTACACCAGGTAGCGCTGCGCTCAGAAGATGGTGAGTGTCAGCGCCTTGCTTCATTGGCGATTTGTTTTCCGTAACAGTCGGTCGTGTCTAAAATCTCCAAGTGAATTTATAACACTTTATTTTGGATATTGTATATTATAAGTATATTTTTAAATATTATATATTATAATATAAATATTTTAAACGATTTTATCGTTCGGTATTTTTTTTTAAATAATTTCGTTTTCCTTTAAGTATGAGTGAAGATTCTTCCGAATTATCTGATTCCTCTTTTTGCTCGAGTTCCCATAACGTGGAAACGGTGGCAGTGGAGGTTCACGATCAGAAACCGCAACGGGCCAAGTCAAGTGCCCTGCCAACCACGTCTGCTCCTTGCCAAACACAGTGAAAACGGAAGCGTTCAGGCTCAAAGGAGCGCAGTGGAAAAAAGAGAAAACTTCTTGAAGAAACCATACATTATTTGGCTCAACAAGTAAGTGGTATACAAAATTATATTGCGAACAGTAGCGTTGCTTTTCAACCTACATGTCACTCTAGTGTTTAAGTGCCTGACCAATGACAAAACATAGATATTGATTCAGATATTAGTGCAAATGTTAGTGGTGAACTATATTCCCGTGAGAATTGTACGCAGGAGCCAGTGCAGACTTCTGAATTGCCCGTTAGTTTCAATTTTTCTCTGAATACTGTGTTGAAAGAACCAACAATACAAAAGTCTTCTCAGGCTCGCGTAAAGTTAATTAATTCAATACAACATTTTGATACTGAAGATTGGAACAACGTACGCTATGCAGAAGTACAAAAGCAGTACTGTTCTGCTCCGGGTTTTACGTATTTAAAGACTAATGAAGAAATCAAATCATATGATAAATATTCATCTCTTGCGCTTATTGAGCGTGGTTTCGCTGCCATTACACACGCTCTTATTATGCAAAATGAAGCCGCACAGAGCGCTTTTACAGCTTTAATTGAGTGGGCAAGTTTCTCGGGTAATAATATCACTGCTAAATCACTGCATGAAAAAGTGAATGAATTATTTATAAAAGGAAATTTTCAAAAAATTAGTAGCGATATTTTACAGTTAGCTTGTGGTTACAGAGCAGAATTAGTACAACAAAGGCGTGATAATATTTTGCGTTCAGTAAAAGATAGTTTTTTGAAGTCAAGTTTACGTAAAATCCCTCCCACTAGTGAGAATCTTTTTAATAAGGAATCTTTCTCTACTGCTATCGAAAAATCTGGGGGTATGTCTAAAGTTTTCTGGCCGCTCCGAGCGCCGACACAAAATAAAGCTGCTGCGCAAGCACAGCCCCATCAGCAGACTCAGGTCAGGACCTAGTCATGCAATGAGAATTACACAGGAGTACAGGGGACGCTTACATCATCGACCTCTCCTGAAACATTGCCAGCAGTTACTGCGTTGCAATCCTCGGCTGCAATTTCCGATACCAACCGCTGCCTTGAAAGAGTTGGATTGGTGGAAACTCAACCTGACTCGGCCCTCGCTCTTTCATTTCCCTCCCATTTCGAATTACCTGGATACAGACGCCTCAGAAGTAGGATGGGGAGCTCAGCTGAACAATCTGAGGTTGTCGGGCCAATGGACGCTAGAGGAAGGGCGTTTACATTCCAATCAAAGAGAAATGCGGGCTGTGTGGTACGCATTAAAAGATCATTGTCCGCACCTTGTGGGATCTTCGATGCTAATACAGAGCGACAACCGCACAGTTATTGCGTACTTGCGAAACCAAGGGGGTACAAAGTCGGGGCCTTTGATGGAAATTACATACAAAATTTTCAGTTTATTGGATCGGTTCAATATTCACGTAGAAGCCCATTACATTCCAGGCCGCTACAACGGAGAAGCCGATCGGCTGTCACGTTCAATTCGTCCGCCAGAATGGCACCTTCTACCCAAAATTACGTCCATAATTTCTGCGAGATGGGGCTTTCCAGTAATAGACCTGTTTGCATCAGCGACAGTTCACGTTGTCCCAGTTACGGTACGCTGGACGTGAGAGACCGACTGGCACATCTTTACGACGCGTTCAGTCAGGAATGGTACTTCTCACTAGCATGGGTATTCCCGCATCCATTTCTAATTCCCCGGGTATTACACATACAGCACCTCAACTCGGCAACGGGAATGTATTCGGTTGTAGCACCGAGATGGACCAAGGCATTTTGGGCGGCCAGACTTGAAGAGTCGCGCTCTGAATCCTCCTTTCACAATACGGAACTTAGGACTAGTTCTGATCGACACAGTAACGAATCAGCCACCTCCACTGACACCAGACATGTATTTGGAGGTATAGAGATGTAGGGGTGGACGGAATATCTAACAGGTTGGTCGGATAGACAGAGACAATTTTTACAAAAAAGTTGGCGGAATTCTACTTTAACTATATATAAAGTAGCATGGCAAAAATGGTGCACGTGGGTGAAAGCGAACTTTGTCTCCATCAATCAACCCACTGGAGCTGACTTTGCTAGGTATCTTATAGACCTACACCAAGTACAAGGATTGGCGTATAAAACCATTTTAGTCTATAAATCTGCTGTTTTAGTTTTATGCAACCCTAATACAGAATCCCGTTTGAGTTCACATGTGTTGGTAAAACAAGCTTTGAAAGCTATTTGTAATAGTCAATCTGTCAATAATAATAAAACAAAAGCTCCAATATGGGATACAGATGTACTGACAAATTGGTTACAAAATAATTTGCGAAACACGAATAATTTATTTTAATGTTCTGCGCGTGCAGCTGTGTTATTATTATTGTACTCTGGCCGTCGTGTACATGATCTTACATTACTGGATATTGAAGAAAGCAGTTGCTTGTTGAAGGACGAATCAATAATTTTCTGGCCTAAATTTGGGTCCAAATCTGACACGGTATGTAATAAAGACAGTCAGTATGGCGTATTTATAGAAAAAAGATAATCAATCCCTAGACCCATATTTTTGGATACAGAAAGTTATTGAGTTGTCTCAGTCTAGACGTGCAATATGTAACGAGACTAGCTTATTCTTAACAATTTGTGGTCAACCAAAAGAAGCTTCGAGTACTAACATTGGTAATTGGGTTAAGAAGATTTTATGTCAAGCAGGTATTAAAGCTAAACCAGGTAGTTGTCGACCCGCAGTTGCTTCAAAAAATTGGATCCAAAATTGTCCGTTAGATGACATACTTGCACGAGGGAATTGGAGATCAGGAAATACTTTTCTAAAATATTACTGCAGAGAAATTCAAAGTTCTTCATTACCATCTAACTCTAAAGGTGTATTACAATTATTTACCCCTGTGCCAGATTGATTTTAAACATTGTTGGAAATTTGAGTTTATTATTATAGATTTTTTGATTAGTTTAATATATCTATTGCTAGACATGAATTAAATGTTTATATTTGAACAGTTCATGTTAAATTATCGTTATTTTTATCAAACTGTGATTAGTACTACATAGGAATGTAAAGTATGTGGTAATTAAAGCTCATTTATTTACAATAAATTGATAAAAATACATGGTTGTTCCTCATTTAACTTATATCACATTTCACTTACTACTTATTTAGCTGCTGTTGGTAATTTTAAAATTATCCCAATTGGTTTAACATAGTATCACATTGGCTTTTCATGTACACCAGGCGATAACAGACAGATCTTAAATGTTTAATTTAGGCTTCAAATAACTGTTCAAAGCTTAATATCAGCGTCTTACCTACCAATAAAACGCTTATTAAGCGATAACCTTATTTGAAGCCTATTATATCAATTCTGCCTGGTGAAAATTTACATAAATTTATTTGAGATCCAATGAAGCAAGGCGCTGACAATCGCCATCTTCCATAGAGTATATTGCTACATATATAAACCATCTTCTGAGCGCAGCGCTACCTGGTGTACAACGAGGGAACTAAAATGGTGGGGGACGACCAATGAGAATTCGAGAAAAAAAATGACGCGTTACCGGAAATCAAGTTAGCCTCTCTCTCAAATATTTAATTTAGGCTTCAAATAAGGTTATCGCTTAATAAGCGTTTTATTGGTAGGTAAAACGCTGATAATAACGTAATAATTTTTAATGATTAGCTAGAATTTAAAAGTTTTATAAATCAAAAGATTCCGTGGGGTTTTTGTACTGCATTTAATGTTACCTAAAAATACTTATTGCTATTTTTGACATGATGTTTCTATGAGTAGTTCATGATATAAACATTTTTCCTTCGTGGACTTAAGCACCAGTTTATTATTATTATTAATAAAATTGCAACAAAACTAGTATTTTTTTACTTTAGCTTTAGTTTTTCCTTTTCTTTTTTGAGGAATTAATAATACAGTAGGTATTTCAAAAAATTATAGTATGTAATTAAAAATTAATGTATGATATCCAAATATTTTAAATCTTAATAAAGTTACCTAACAAACTATAATCATATTGAAATAAATTACAAAAACTATTTCATGCAAGTTCCTAAATATATTTTATTTTGTACTTTCAATAAAATAGAATTATTTTTTTACATACTCTACGCTGTTGAGCGAAACGCATTGCAGCTAGTCTGTGGTTCTTAATAATCTGTGCTCTGACCAGTTTATGGTGTTCTCTGGGCGGAGGCCATTTCCATTATTACAAGTCACATCTTTTTGTTTCTTTCCGTTCGACAAATCTGGTCAATTTTATATAAATCTAGAAATAGATTAAAGTGTTAGCGTATCAAAACTTATTGCTTTAGTGGTTATTTATTTTGTGTTATCTAAATAAACTAAAGGACTAACATCTGCGTACATCGTTGCCAACTGTCGAGTCGTCGATATTGTGCGAGCGAATAATGATCCTTGGTTTCGTGCTAGTGTAACTTCGTGTAATAGAACTATTTTTTGAAATTTTATAAATCCAAGTTATCACAATGGCTTCATTTCAACAGTTAATAGCTTTCCGTAGAGAAGTCCTCATCACGGATAAATATAGGATCACTAGAAGGATTGGAGGTGGTTCTTTTGGTGATATTTATTTGGGCATAAATATCGCTAATGGCGAGGTAAGTTGTTACTTTACTAATGTTTAGTTAGATTATATTTCAAAAGATTTCGAACGTGGGCTGAGTTTAAAGTTCGTCGTTTTAGCTAACATGTTTTTTATGCATATAATTGACATACTTACGGAGAAATATTGATAATGTTCGATAAAGGACTAATTCGATAAAATAATTATTCAAAACGTAGTTTAAGTTTTTAGAAAGATAATTAATTAAGAGATAGTAAATAAAGTTTGGAATTAATTAATCATTCCAAATTACATGAGAAATCCAAATTTTTAAAACAAGCATGTTGGAAATTTATTTATAATAACATTGCTTTCAAGTTACAACATGTTTTTCTACTTATTAGATGTATCATGTACATCTTTAATTTCGCAGTGGCAATGGCATATTAATTAGTGGCTAGACCCAGCATTTATTTGTTTAAGCAATGACTAATTTAGGTACAAGCAAATATGTATAAAGAAATAGTAACTTAAGTTAATTATTGTTAAGTACTCATTAAGTCATGTAATACCTTCTGCCTGTTAAAACTCATGCTTGGTTCATTTATTACTTATTAAATGATTTACTTTGACAACTTCATCTCTGTTTCACAATATTTTAAACATGTTTTGTTTATTTAAATTGTTGATGTATGACTTATATCAAGGAATCGGCTCAATTCAGTGAAATAAGTGTCTTGCTTTCTGTAATAACTTTCTAACTTGCTATATTTAATTAATCAAAATATTGTGTAATCTTTTAAATAATGTACTGTACTGCTTTTATTAACCTGTTTGATCCTGAACCTTTAACTTCTTAATTAAATCATCATTGTCTCCCAATTAAATAAATAAAAATTATATATTAAAACTTAAAAGCTATCATAAGTCAATAGATTTATACTAATATTTAGAAAATAAGTTTTGCAGTATCAGGGTCAAGCTTCATTATCAATGTGATTTGCATAACATGGCTGCCTCATGCCTACACCAAATCAAATACTTTGCTTGTATATATTTTTGAGTAGTTAGTCTGCTTCATGTTTATAAAAACATTGGATATTAGCTTCATAACTCTTACAAAATGGTATTCACTTTATTTTTCTGTTTAGTAAGTTCTCTTGGTAATATTAAATATTCATATTGATGAATATTTAAGCCAAGTGTGGTTTTATTTTATTAAGTAGAGGTTTATCCTTGCTCCCTTTTGTTACATCTTTAGGGATGAATGATTTAGGAATGCATAAAGTACAAACATATAAACATTCATTTTTATTTCTAGACTAATGAGTCGCTCACACTTTGTTCAGGTCCCGAACTAGGCACAAGTTTAGTATATGGGATGCGGCTTCTGGAGAAATGAGAGGTATTTTTGGACAGGGGAGGTGATACAGATCCTAAATATTAAAAAAATATTTTGAGGAAATGAAGGATACAAAAGTTATAGAGACTTATAGTAAACTGCATATGTGTGCCCCGTATACTGAACAGCAGCCCCCAACTTTACTAGATGCCATTTTTATGTAATTCTTATTGAAATTTATTATTATTCCACAGAAATCACCTAAAAGATAGGTAATAAGGGACACTTTTGTATTCTTGTTGCCATATAGGATGGTGTCACTCATTTTCACATTTATTATATAAGTGAGAACACATTTATTATATAAGTGAGAATATATGTACAACATTTTAAAAATTGTATAAAATAACACCTATATTTCTTAATTCTCAATGACATAATAATTGTAGACAAGTTTGTACACTGTTTTTATTTATTTCCTATTTCCTTTAAAACATGCCTTGAAGATTAAAAGTGTTGCAATGCTATTTCCTGTGAGGAATTAAAGACAATTATATTATAGTAATGAATTTTCAAAATTGTTCAGTTTTCCTTATATTAGACTTTCTTACAGTATTGCTTTTTGAACTTACTCATGTTTCTATCTAATCCACACTAATCTATTATTATAAATGTGAAAGTAAGTGAGGAAGTTTGGATGTTTGTTACTCTTTCACACCAGAGTGGCTGAATGGATCTGGATAAAATTAGGCACAGACATAGATTTTAGTCTAGCACATGGGTTACTTTTTATCCTGGAAAATGTATGGTTCCCATGGGATAGATTGGTTTTTCTCTAGGGACAAACCCATAGCAAAGCAAGGGTGAGACATTGTTTATTGATTTGTCTTTTTTTTTTCATAAAGGAATTTCATAGGCTGTTGTAACATAACTTATTTTTGTTGTTCCAATAAATTATTCCTACATTATATTAAGTAAAATGTTACAAAAAGTGTTGGATGCACATTGTACATGTCAAAAGAAAAGCTACGGCAAGTAGCTAGTATATTATAATTTACAACAGTCTGTTTATAAATCTAGGTCAACTTTGATTTTAGAGAAGGGATTTACAATGCAATTAGGACTGCCACATTGTTGTTCTTGATAAATATGTTTGCATTGCTTACACAAAAGCATGAGTACCTGGGTGTCCGGAGTTTTTGGCCAAAAGTACAATTTTCTTATTTAAAATAAATACGAAAAAAAAACAAAAGTAAAAGTGTCTGACCGGGATGTGAACCCGTACACCTATGATTGTCAATCTTGTGCCTTGGTCGCTTGACTACGATGCTAAAGCCTGAGTGTGCGAAATTATCAACCATTTTTGGAAAACTCGAAAACACGCCTTTTTTCAGACATAAGACTAATCTAGATCGATTTTTCGCCCCCGAAATCTCCCACATACGAATCGTTAGAGTCGTTTCCGAGATCACCGGTATAAATAAATAAATATACAAGAATGCTCGTTTAAAGATATTAGATAGATAGATATAAATTAGACTTGCAACGAATAGTATATTCGGCCATACGCCGAATACTGAATATACGACGGGCTTTCTGGCCGTCAAGCCGAATATTAGGCAAAAGTATTCGGTCAGCGCGTGGCAGGAAAACTTGTACCTACGTGCTAGTTTATTCTTTGGCGCCAGAAAATAGTATTTATTCAGATATAATGATATAGATGAATAGTGTCTTTTTTCTTAATCTGGGAATCTTATCTGATAAATCGGTCCTTTTGCATCTTAATATTGCACTTCTAAATTTTAATTATGATAATGCAAGTGCATAGACATTTATATGATAGTTTTTTGTAATAAAGAAGTTGATTATGTACCTATAACTACTTTAAAGATTATAAAATGGCTAGGATAGACGGAACGCGTGCGAATTTAGGTATTTCCTTTGTATTATAAAAACAAATACACATTTTGAAACTGTAACGTGTATACGTTATAGAGAACGTATACTTTTTTATTATCAAAAATTTGATGAACTTCCTTTAATTATTTACGCAGCACTAAGGGTTCGTTTTGTTTTTTAGAGATCATGTTGGATTTTTTTCTATCGAAGAAACTACAAGTAATCATGTAGTATGTAAAATGTACGATTTATAGAATAAATCCTTAAATATCCTACATATTAATTGCATAATTATAGTTTTAGTAATAATAATACAGCAAGGGATAAAACGAACGCAATTATTTCGTAATTGCCTCGGTGCGCCCTTAAGTATTCGGTATTCGGCCGAATAAGATGAAAGTAGCCGAATACCGAATAGTAGCCGAATATTCGTTGGAAGTAGAATATAAATATATTTTTATATAAGTAGCATTATGAAATCGTGTATCAATAAAATTCACAAAAATGTCTCAAATTGCGAAATATTTCTTTTAATGACTGTTATTTCGGCGATTTGTGTGAGCTACGAAAATGAATTCGTATATTCGTACCATCGCGGGCCGGCGCTAATATGCACAGGAAATATAACTGTTAGTGTAAAGTGCTGCTATACCTTGGAAGTCGATACATTAATACTGCAAAGCTTTACGACTAAAAAGCCTATAGAAGAGTTGAGCATACTATGCCAAAGAGATCGTTGAAAAGTAGTTTTTACTATTTTTTTTCAATATGCTTGCTTATATTATTAATACTTTGTGTTTTCCTGTGATATCTTATGTAATTTAAAGTAAATAGATTAAATGTAGATTATTTTCCCATGTTCAATGCGCTGTTGAAACGAAAACGGAGAGTTTGTATCAGTGGAAGATTCGTACTTAGAAGAAAACTCGCGAGTGGTTCTTTTAGTGATATTTACTTAGCATTTCATACTGAATATGGAGAGGTAATTTAAATAACGAATTCAAAGTAAATATATTAAACGTTTTTTATATTAAAAAGTGGAGTTATTTTGGGTGAAGTAATCCTGACCCTAAATAATGCTCCCTTAAAGATTGAAGCTGATGTCAGATGTAGATTATATCTACAGAGGGATTGTAAATAAATCGCATAACGTTCGTGTCCGTGTTGCTTTTATACGTTTACAATTTACATGTGTCTATTCTTACAAAAAAAATGATATTTTTTTGTTGCTCAAAACTAATAAAAATAATTTAAAATGTATCTAACGGCCTTAATATCTAAATCCAAGGAGTTTATATTTGTATTGAACACCCCCCGTGTCCGGTTTTTTTTCATATGAAATATTTTTTTTGTTAGTTTTTAATCAGTCTTAATAATGACTTAGAATATTATACATACTTAATATATATTTTTGTATGTAATAACAATGTCTGTGTATGGTTAGATTTTAGCTATGCAGGCTCTACCCTCCATAATTATTAGTACTCCATAGCATCATTTAAACAAAACGTGCTACCCACAATTGTATGTAATATATATATATATATAAAACACATATAAGATATCGTCAAAATATGCACTATATTTTGACGACACAATTGGCTCAGTTTGTAGTGACCCTACTTGCGGTGCCAGCGGTCGCGGATTCGAGTCCCGCTGATTCATTTGTGCGATGAGCACAAATGTTTGTTCTCCAGTCATGGGTGTTTGTTTATATTTATAATATGTTTGTATTAAAGTTAAATATTTTAGTGTATCAACTATTCACTGGTATCCATAACACAAGCCTCGTAGCTTACCATGGAACTAGATGGTGCTGTGTGTTGAATGTACCAAGAAGATATCCCAAGATATCTTTATATATATATAATACTTCTGTGAGTGTGTATGTCACTGAACTTCTCTCAAACGACTGGACCGATTTTGATGAATTTTTTTGTGTGTGTTCAAGGGGATCTGGGAATGGTTTAGATTCACAATTTGAATAATAATTTTCATCAAAAAAAAAATTAAAAAAGTTTGAAATTTTCAAATTAAAGACGTGTAGACAGGGCAACGTCTGTCGGGTCCGCTAGTATGTATATAAAACAAAAGTCGGGTTTGTTACAACACTTATAACTCGAGAACGGCTGGACCAATTTGTATGATCTTTGATTTGTTGGATTTGTTTCCGCCCCGAATAGCAGAATAACTATTAAAACATTGGAAAAATGAACGATATTTTTTTCAAAATCTACATGGCTATCGCTGGCTAATAACTATTTATATAAATTTCAAACCTACCTAGAGACGAACCCGAGCGAAGCAAGGGTGAGCCGCTAGTTCTTCATATTTTAAAATTAACCTTGTAATGTGTTCTATTGATTTGTTTGGAACACAAAGTTATAGAAATAAAGCTTCAAACTATGATTAAGTTTAGAAATTAGAATGTTAAACTAAAACTTAAACTTTAAGCAATTAATTACTGTACAAGCAACATTCAAATTACTTAAAACAAGCGACTCACCCTCGCTTCGCTCGGGTTCGTCCCTAGCTTAATTCCCCAACTTTGATCCCCATTTTGACCCCCTTAAGGGATGATTTTCGGGATAAAAAGTATTCTATGTCCTTCCCAGGATTTCAAACATCTTCTTACCAAATTTCATCTAAATCTGTTACGTAGATCCAGAGATTACCACCAACAACGTCACAAACTCACAAACTTTACCTCTTTATAATATTAATATAGATTAACATAGTATGGTTTTACTTAAAGTTTGTTTATTATTGCAATATTAGGTACACGTAAAAAATCATTGTGCTGATAAAATTATGCTTCACTACACGTTTTTAGAGCTTCAAAAATGTACCATAAACTTAAATTTTACCAAAAATGTGTTCGATACTTTCAATGTTTTCCTCGGTTTTATTTTTTCGCATAGAGATCGCTTACAAGTAAAAAAGGAAGTAGAGTACAAAATTTTAGTGGATATATGGTGGTTGTGTCGACATGAAAGTGCTTTCCTCAAAACAACCTTATTAAGGTATAGTAAAGTAACATTAAAAAATGTTAGTGCCATTGTTATTTTTTTTAACTTTGTTTTTTTTTTAAAGAAACTAGCAAATTAAATATTATTTAAGGTATGTTTTCTAATTTCTTACATTTTACTAAAATTCCAAAATGAATTACTTAAGTATAATGAATCAATTAAATAAAAATGTATTCTTCCTCTGTGTCAATGTCAGTACCACTTTTAGTATCAGTGTCACCTACACTTGTCTTGTCCTTGCCAGTGTCGGAATTTTCACATGTAAGATTGGTACTATTCAACCAAAACAGAATGGTATGATTAAAAATAAACAGAAAACTCTAATATGAACTCTTTAAATATTAATATTTTATCGTAACTACCTTAATAATTTTCAATTCTGTTCTCTTGGAAAAAAAACATGCTCGAGAAAAAAACGTGTTTTTTTTTCATGTTTTTTTAAAAAGTGTTTTTAACTATACCGGTAGCGTGCACAAATGCCTTCCTTCTATTAACGTGTTTAATTAAGTCGATATGATTTTTGTATTAAGGAGAGGGGATATACTTAGCAATTATTACTATGGAATAGTAATATCAACTCAATAATCTGTATTGAGCGCTGCATATATTTCCTTTTAAAGCTCTTTTGACGATTAAAAGTTGACTTCTTATGTACCTATTCAAGTTTTTAGTATCACGTATTTTACAAAACTAATTTCATTTGATATCAAATATTACCAATAAAATTGGTGATTTTTGTGACAGCTCACAAAAATCGCTTAAAGTTAGAAATTAGTTTACGCAGTAGAAGTTTTATATTTTTGACTGGCATCACTGTTGTTGTGACGTCACGTAAGTCAAGTTGACAGTTGTTCTGTGTACACTTCGGTCTTCGAGTCTTCGACACAGTTATTTATTTGTTTAGTTTTATACAGCATTAAACAAAATGTTGTGACATAAAATAAGTAAACATGCAATAAAAATGTGTAACGTAAGCTTAGAAAGTATGATTTAAAATAAATTTTAGTGAGAACAGCGATGAAGTTTTAACAAAAATGTCTAATTTGGAACGCAAGTCGAGATGGAGTAAAGTGTTAATATGTAACAAATATAAAATCATTCGTAAAATCGGCAGCGGGAGTTTCGGGAAAATCTATCTGGCAGTGTTATCTGATGGAGAAGTAAACCTCATTATCTGTATAATCCGTATTAATATTATAAATGTGAGAGTTTGTGAGTATGGATGTTTGTTACGTTGGCGTGAAAGCCAGAACGGCCGAACGGATCTGGATGAAATTTGGCACAGAGATAGATTATAGTCTGGAATAACACATAGGGTACTTTTTATCCCGGAAAAGTGTACGGTTCCTGTGGGATAGGTTTGTTTTTGTTTTCCAAGAGGTGAACCCGAGCTAAGCGAGGGTGAGCCGCTAGTAACTAATATGATAATGTCTTGTCAAACGTACTGTATTGGAATCTTTCAAAACAAACTAATAAATATCATAATGAATTGAAGTGAAGTTATTATATTTTATCGATTGTGTTTGACAATTATATATAATCATACTAGTTATTGTTAATAATGATAAGCAGTAAAAAAAATGAAAGTTCTAAACATTACTTTATAAAAGGTTCTTTATTTGATCTAAAATACTCAATTACAATATCTAAACGAAAAATATAGTAATTTTATTGATAGCAAACTTTATCAATGCTAATAATAATGACAATTCCAATAATACAAATGATTCCCAATCACTATTTATTGTGGTTTAAGTATACATAAGTTCTGACTTATTGAGGTGTATTTTTTATTTATCAAAAACTTAATTACTGATATGTTTATGTTTATAATTTTTATATTTATGTTGCATTATTACTCTTTTATTATATGTACTCAGCACTTTTTAACATGCCACTGCTGAGCAATTGGCCTCCCTTTAATTTGAGGGTTGGCGGGATTGCATGTCTTTTCAAAACTTGCTAGGTTCTCTCAGATGTGCAGGTTTCCTCAGAATGTTGTCCTTCACCATAAGAAAAATGGTAATTATGTTGGAAATGATGGAAATGATTCGCACATGAAAATATCAGAGGTGCATGACCCAGGATTTGAACCTGCTTCACTCGGTTTCCCATGCAAGCATATTACCACAGGGCTATAACTGCATGATTATGTTGTATAAGATAATATGTTGTTGAAGATTTTAATATAACAGAAACGAATATAATTATTGTGATAAGGCTTTACTGCTTGACTAATGGTTGTATCTTTTATTGTGTAAATATAGGGAGTTTTTTTATACATTATTTTTATGGAAGCATTTTTAAATTCTAATATTAAATTTCCTATATAATATAAAGATAAACATTGTACTTAGATACTTAAATATTTTTCAAAATTTTAATGTGATATTATGTTATTTGCAGGAGGTAGCAGTAAAAGTAGAATCTATTAAAGCGAGACACCCTCAGCTTCTCTATGAGAGCCGTGTGTATAAAATGCTCCAAGGGGGCATTGGCATACCGCATATAAGGTGAGTTTTATATTTTGTTACAGCTTGTCGATTTTAAAGAATATAAAAATAATATATTTATTTAATATTGCTTGAAAACACCCCTGTATTATCAATGCACGTAGAAAGTAAACAGAAAGTGAAATATATCTTTGGTTCACCATGTACCTCCAAAAAAAATTCTAGTTAACCTTTATAGTTATTTCTTCATGAAAAATTATTCAATTAGACATTTACTTAGCACTTTGTAGCTTTCTTCACTAAGTTATTCATATATGTCTATTGTTCATTGGTTGTATTTACATATTGGAAAAGGTAAATTTTACATATACTCAATATTATATATTTCATTTGTCTCTACAGTGAACAGAGTTTGTTGTATTAATGAATGTTACTTGGACTTGAATAAACTTAATTGTAAGGAAATGTTCCTTTGGTAGAAAAACATTGGCAAGTTTGTTTAACTAGGTATGAAAATAACACAAAAACTTTCCAACGTGAATTAGCTTTTAATATGTTACATTCTTATAAAAAATATTCTTCATAGGCATACTTAATATAAATAAATAAATAAATCCTCCTGATCGATTTCGGTCACAGCGGCCAATCCCCAGTCCCATTCATTGTAAGACTAGAAGTAAGACTAGACTAGTAATATGCGCAGAAGATATAGTGCACAAGTATTTTTTTTTTATGTTGGGAAATGCATTTACGCACGAGGTGTGGGACTCACCGGCGAAGCCAGTACTACCCACTAAAAATCAACAAAGCCTTTCTCGTTTTAATGGGGCGTTGCAGGATCGCTCACGCATTCAACTACGACGCCCCGACGGCAGGTTTGCCGAAGCAGACCACAACAACCATGGGGTTGCTCCAAGGTCCACTATGCTATCAGAGAAGTACCAGGAGCAACCCGCATGGTACACCGCCCTTCGAAGAGGGCCACCTCCCACCGCCCACCGAAGTGGGCCACCTCCCTGTGCGTTTCTTGGCTTCGCGCCCGGCTTAATTGCCGGGCACTACTGAGCCTCCCCACCACGACAAGGTGAACGCACGTTGGGGGGGATAGTGCACAAGTATGTACGCAGACATAACGTGCACTCCCTATGTCTCTAACACTCAAAGTCCGATGGAGCGATACGTTGACACGACCTGTTCGAGTTAAGGCACAGAACCAACGTCTACGTGTTCTCCGAAGTACGGGGGTGAAACACCGCCAAATTTCCAGCTCTGTGGGCTATTACTGGGAATTAAAAATTACTGAGAAACCTCAGTAATTAAACTTGGCCCGATCCGGGACTCGAACCTAGGACCTCTGGATCTGCGACCGTACTTGCTGCTAGCCACTTAAGTTTACAAGAATATGTAAATTGGCAAAAAATATAATTACTGCCAATAATATTGTTACTACAAGTATATCAATATTAGGTTAAACCTGTCGAGTATCGCGCGTGGGTTTTAAGCATATTTTCAAGGAAACTAACAGTTTTCTAAAATTTATATTGTGATAATTAGATTCGTCTAGAGTTTTTATATGACTGTTTTTATCGAAATTAATGTCTAGCGTAGAGATAAATGGAACTTAAATAAAAATTGTAACAATGATGCTTATTCACATACTTAATTATGTTTATGGGTGGATGATTTTTTGAAACAAAGCTTATAAAAATCCTTGGGGCGAAGAGATTTTCACAACCCATGTTATGTAAATGGTCAGATGGCCTTATTACGCTTTTAGCAAGTGTTTCAAGGTCGCTTAAAATGACTCGATCATTTGAAACTGTTGAAGTATTAGGTATTTTTTTAATAAGAAACCACAATTATTATAATGTGTCGACTGAAAGGATAGCCGACTAAAAGATACGATATTTATAGATAGTCTTACGTTTATTTATAGGTCTTCTAATATGAGCTCGGACTGCATATCGTGTATGATGTATATTGTGTTTAATTAATTATCTAAGATAAAAAATATTTAATTTTGTTATACGAGGTATTGTATATAATACTATCTCTTTCCTCATTTTATGTTTCATACCTTTGTCTCATGTCCCAAAAAATCCAGTAAAATGTTGAACTGTAGAACACCCTTATAAATAATATATATCGTTGAGGCTTCTTCTTATTAATATGTTTATTATTCAATACTGAACTGTTACATATCCCATTAATGTTTCAATGTGAAAGTTTGGATGGATGTTTGTTACTCAATCACGCCTGAACGGCTGAACAGATCTGGATGAAATTTTGCTCAGAGATAGATTATAGTCTGGAATAGCACATAGGTTACTTTTTAGTCTGGAAAAGTGTACGGTTCCCGTTGGATAGATTCTATTTGTTTTTCATTAGGAATGAACCTGAGCAAAGCAATGGTGAGTCGCTGGTCATATTATTTTAATAAGTAACATGATATGACTCATAAAATGATTCTGCGAAATATTTTTTAAAATAACATCAAGTTTTCTGAACCCCTCTCTCCCTAATCATATTTTACTAAGTACCCCACCCTCCAGCCTGTTTGCAAATATGTTTTAATGGCTTTAATGGCTTCGTATTTACAAGAAAAAATATTTTGAAACAAGTTAGAAAAAGTTATAAAACAAAGTATTGTCGCATGAAAAACACAATTGTGTACAGTAGGTACGTAACAACTTCTAACCTTTCTTAAGTCCTTGAAAGATATGAAACAATAAACGGATTGTTGGTTGTTTTTAAATAAGTCTACTAAACGGCGTTTCTAAGACACTTACATCATGTTTTTTTTTCTGGTAATGCCAAAATACTATAAAGGTACATATGTTTTATATATATCTATACTAGCAGAACTCTCGGCTTCACTCGCGTTAAAACTACAAAAGAACCTTATAAAGGTAGGTTTCATACAAGCTTTCGTTCCCTATTTTACCTACTTATGGGATGAATTTCGAAAATGCCAAAACACGTATTTATTTATTTGTATTGAAGAGTATTATTACCAAATTTCAAGTAATTCTAATCATAAATATTTTTTTAAGTTGTATTATAACGTGTTTTCCCGTGGGAATGAGATAATTTCCCGCGGTAAAAAGTAGCCTATGTCACTCTCCAGGCCTTCAACTATCGCCATACAAAAGACCATTCCAATCCGTCACTCTGTTACGACATGAAAGAAGGACAAACAAACACACTTTCACATTTATAATATTAGTATGGATTATAAATAAACGTAACTATTTATTATACAAGATATTTGAATTTTAATGTTATAGTATTAGTAGCAATCCGCTCTCATTTCATTTAGACTGCTGTAGGTATAGGTATAACTTTAATTTTGTTAATATTTCATAACGTATAAACAATTTTATGAGCGATTGTACGAAAACCCGTGAGTCACAAGTGTGAAAGATGGTCTATGTCTCCATCATCATGGCCTATGTGCAAACTTTATTACAATTCGCTAAGGTGTTGGAGCCTTTAAGAGATTATATTTTTAACGTCCCACTGCTGGGGGTGGGCTTCCCTTCAATACGAGGGGAATCAGGCCATAGTCTACCACACACATGTCTTTCGAAAACTTACTAGGTTCTTAAAAACATGCAGGGTTCCTCGCGATGTTTTCCTTTACCGTGAAACAAGTAGTAATCAATATTAATGTTGGAAATGATTCGCATATGAAAATATGGATACTAAACAGAGGTGCAAGACCCGGGATTGGAACCCGCTTCCCTCGGTTTCCCAAGCGAGCTGCCATTGCCTTTATTAAGAGGTTACATACTCATTCGTTTTGTTTGTTAGATTAGAGCTTATAGAACAATAAAAGTGAGGTCAAACTGTGTTTAAAATCAAAAAAATACTTGTGTCTTATATACTTAGCATACAAGTAGAGTACCTTTTCAGGTATCAATAACTGTTCTCTTCGCGTAATATAAATCTGAATTAGTGTTACACTGAGATAGTTTTATAGAGAAGATTTTCCATTTCAGATGGTACGGCTACGAAAAGGACCACAATATCCTCGTGATGGACCTCCTGGGTCCGTCTCTCGAGGATCTGTTCAACTTTTGCTCCCGGCAGTTCACTATCAAGACTGTGCTTATGCTTGCAGGTCAGTATTATAATTTAGTTTTAGGTTTATTTAATCCCTCAATGACCGGACACGCCGGCGTTACAGTTAACATTAGATTTCTTAGAAATTTAATCAATTTCTTAGAAATTTACCTGGAGGTATTAAATGCATGGGACTCGTCGAAATAAATCAAATAAGCACAAATACGATTTTTTTATTTAGGATTTCCGCTATTCACTTTTTGCCTCCAACTCGATGGTAGCTAAATATTGCATTGTCGTCTTGATTTCAAATACAATGTTTTAAATCGATACGATATCTTGTAGTAAGTTATATAACTATATTTTTTAATATAACTACTACTGCGAAAGTTTTGTGTGTGTGTATGTATGTATGTATGTATGATGTATGTATGTATGTATGTGTGTGTATGTTTAAAATAAAAATATCTTTTCTAATATTTTCGCCGAGTTATTTTGGTTTTTGTTCCCAACGTTTAGAATGATTTATAGCAATCATGGTCAGTAAGAGACTCGTCTCTTATTTAAAATTTCAAATATTCTCGTAAATCTAAGAAAGTATAAGTATAGTCATGCCGGAGTAACAAGGATTTGAATAAAATTTGTATACAGATAGATTACATACACTGGCCGTTAGGCACCTATGGACGTACTCGCGCGATACGTAAGTCGTTAGTAAAATATTATATAATGCAAAGTCCTTGGTGTTTCTATCAAATATAACATCAATATTGTTTTGCTCCATAAAAGCACACACAGAATCGTATGCGTAATTCAATTTCACGCAGTAATCTTATTATAAGGGGAAGGTGAATGTTGTTTAAACCAATTACATGATAGTAAAACAACTTTATCACAGATTGTGGCTAGATGTTTCAAAAATCAAACTCCTCTATCACTTTATACGTTTGCTTATATTTTAGTGTACACTAGAGGCTTACGCTCGCTTCGCTCGGGTGCTTTCCTAATTTGAATGGTTTAAGAACGCACAAAAGCCACGTTCAAAGTTAAATCTTTTTTGCACCAAGAACTTTCGCAGGCGTATTCAGTATAATCCACCAGAGTTTCATCACAATCGGATCAATGGTTTAGGAACGCATAGATGATAAACATACGAACGAACGAACGACATTTTTATTAATATTGTATGTTATTTATTTTTAGATATAATTTTACATTGATTTGTTCTTGAGTTTCATGATTTTTTTTTGTTTAAATAAAATTTTTTTTTTGTTTTGTTCGTTCGGTTTAGACACGGTTTTTAATGACTATGAGTTTTGACACGTCAAAAACTAATGTTTCTTCTGTTTTCACTTATCGTGTTTGCTTTATTCCTCCACGACCGCGGCATGTCAGTTAACAATAGATTTCTTAGAATTTTAATTATTTTTTTAGAAATTTATCTAGAGGTGATAAAGAATTCGAAACGTTGGGAATATATAAAGTAAAACTTCGAAGATGTAGTATGATTAGAATTGTCAAATATTCGCTAAAACCTAAGGTAGTATGTATTAGTAGCTCAAAATCAATTAATTTAGCAATTTAAATGAATATCTAAATACCTATTAGTCTACAGGCTATATATGTATTTAATGAATTGCCATTAAGAGTTATTTTTTTAATACTTTAAAAAATAGCAATTTTCATGGTGAATGATTTCAATAATAGAGACAAGAAGCCATTAGCAAGAGAATTGAATTGAATTGACAAGAGTGTCACAGAACTAAACATGAAGTCAAACAATACTGTTTTAAGACATAATACTTATTACTGTGATAAGCAAAAAGTTAATAAATAAAAATATCTAACTGATTTTATTATAATAAAGAAACAAAAGCGAATATTATGCTCTCTCTTTCATACGAAAGAGAACGAATGCTTAAAAGTTGCAAAGAGAAATGTTATATTGTTTTCATTGTTAATTTTTTTTTTAAACTTTCTTCTAAAAATTGTAAATTACCCACTTTAAAATTTCCCTTATTCTTTAAAGAAAGTAAACGATTTGTATTGCAAAATCGAGAATGGTACCGTAAACAGCAAAATCACGCTACCATTTTTGACTTTGATATTTTTTTGATGGACACGGTCTATATAATTCTTTAGTCTGAGTTTCTTAGTTAAAGTGCTGTAGTGCATTCTCGTGGTAAGTCAACTGTGAATATATTCGTCAACAATAAAGTCCCATTGTCATATAAAAGTATAGTATATAAAAGCCAAGTTTAGGCCTAGCTTAGCTTGTACTATGCGGGTTTCTAAACTGCCTCGGTGGTGTAGTGGCTAGCATGTACGGTTGCACACTCGGAGGTCCTGGGTTCGAGTCCCGGGTCGGGCCAAGTTTAGTTGCCCCCCCCCCAACGTGCGTTCACCTTGTCGTGGTGGGGGGGCTCAGTAGTGCCCGGCAATCCAACCGGGCGCGAAGCTAAGAAACGCACAGGGAGGTTGCCCACTTCGGTGGGCGGTGGGAGGTGGCCCTCTTCGGGGGGTGGTGTACCTTGCGGGTTGCTCCTGGTACTTCTCTGATAGCAGAGTGGACCTTGGAGCAACCCCATGGTTGTGGTGGTCTGCTTCAGCAGACCTGCCGTCGGGGCGTCGTAGTTGAATGCGTAAGCGATCCTGCGACGCCCCATTAAGACGGGGGAAGGTTTTGTTGGGTTTTAGTGGGTAGTACTGGCTGTATTACGCCGGTGAGTCCCACACGTCGTGCGTAAATGCATTTCCCAACGTTAAAAAAAAAAAAAAAAGTTTAGTTATTGAGTCTTTCTGTATAGTAAGCCTCAGTAACAGCCCGGAGTTGGGAAGTGGGTAGTGTTTCACCCTCGTGCCTCGGAGAGCACGTAAAGCCGTCGGTCCTGCACCTTAACTCTCACTGGTCGTGTCGAGTGTTCGTCCCACCAGAGTATGAGAGTGACAGGAATAGAGAGTGCACTTGTGTCTGCGCGTACACTTGTGCACTATAATATCTCCTGCGTAGTTGGCTAGTCTCAATGAGATTGGCCGCCGTGGCCGGAATCGGTTAGGAGAACATCATGCGGGTTGCTTCTGGTACTTCTCTGATAGCAGAGTGGACCGTTGGAGCAACTCCATGGTTGTTGTGGTCTGCTTCGGCAGACCTACCGTCGGGGCATCGTGGTTAAGTGCGTAAGCGATCCTGCGACGCCCCATTAAGATTGGAGGAGGTTCTGTTGGGTTTTAGTGGCTAATACTGGCTTTTCTAGTCAATGAGTCCCACATAACCTTTATGTGTACAGATGGTATGCGTAAATGCATTTCTCAACATTATAAAAAGGCCTAGCTTTGCTTAATAAAATAAATATTTCTACCTTCCACAGACCAAATGCTCTCCCGCGTGGAGTTCATCCATTGCAAGTGCTTCATACACCGCGACATCAAACCCGACAACTTCCTTATGGGCATCGGCCGCCATTGCAACAAACTGTACATGATCGACTTCGGACTAGCCAAGAAGTTCAGAGACATGCGCACACGCATTCATATCTCATATCGCGAGGACAAGAATCTTACTGGTAAATTATGTTTTTTTTATTATTATTAAATTCTATCTTAAAGTAAGAGTCGGGTTAGCCGTTCTGAAATTTGAGAAGAATGAATGGGGCTTAAACTTGAAAATGTATATGCCTGAAAGATACCTGACTTATGTTTGGAAGACATGTAAAGGATTTCTTCACTTGATGTGCCTTCAAATTCTTCAAAGGTAAAATCAATTTTATTTTTACATTGTGAAATTCTGTCACATTTTTTTTTTAATTTGTATGTGATATTTTTATTATTACTCCACCCGTGAATGAGTGGATTTCAAATACATTTTAAATTTACGAAATTAGTTACTTGCTTGGGAAATCCAGAGAAACAGGGTTCAAATCCCGGATCTCGCACCCTTCCAACATGATTACCACTTGTTTTACTGTGAAGGAACACCTCATGAGGAAACCTTCATGTCTGAGATAACCTAGCGAGTTTTTCGAAAGATAACCTCAGTCCGCCCGCGCTTGGCCTGCGTGGTGGACTATTGCCTGATCCTCCTCGTATTGAAGGAAGGCCCACCCCCAGCAGAGTGGGACGTTAAGACGTTGAATACTTTGTGTCTAATATTATGTAATTAGATGTCTTATCCACCAGGCACGGCTCGCTACGCGTCCATCAACGCGCACCTCGGCATCGAACAGTCCCGCCGGGACGACTTGGAGTCTCTCGGCTACGTACTTATGTATTTCAATAGGTGAGATATTATTGTTAAAACTAACCTTTTATAATAATAATAGTGCCATAATTGACGAGACGGCCAATAAAACGCCGATATTCTCGTAATTAATTTATATATGTGCTGCTTTCCACCAAATATGAAATAAAACTAAACAAAATATTCTAATAAAGTTCATAACGAAAAGTAGGTTAGTAGTAGAAAAAGGTTGACCTACTCTTTATTATTTTTCTCTCCGTAAATTAACATTGATATACAAAAACTGAAGATACACAATTAGCCTTTCAAAAGTGTCCTCAAAAATGCGCAGAATTCAAAATTGTGTGTTTTTTTAAACCTCTTATGTTCATTGCTTTATGGATGACAAAATTAAAATGTACGTTGGGTCGTTTAAAAATGTTCTTTACGTTGTTTGCGTAAGTTCGAATTAGTGTTTAGACAATTAGAACATTGAATTTTTTAATTTTATTCTTTGGTTTGACTTAATGTTACATATCGACGCCACTTTTTTAAAAGATATTTGTTAGGAAATGTGTATCTATGTTTTTATATGTATATCAATGTGTGTTTAAATGATTTTTTTATAAATAAAATATTAACCTATATACTATATATACACATAACATATATATACATATAACTTAATATAATTTCAGAGGTTCTTTGCCATGGCAAGGATTGAAAGCAATAACCAAGAAGCAAAAGTATGAGCGTATTAGTGAAAAGAAAATGTCGACACCTGTCGAAGTTTTATGCAAGGTAAGTATTACTTTTTATCTAGTTTCCAAGAAGTTGTTTGGAATTAAAATAATATTAAAAACTATTGAACACACAAAAGAAGAAAAAAAGTCAGTCATGAGGACTGCCGACAGAAGTGAAAACTTAAAACTATAAACAAACAGTTGTTATTTTTGGATATTCAAATTAATTGTTTGATCATAAATTAAAATTTGTAAATTAAAATTGTTTACATTTATCTGGTTTTGACATCTATCGGCACTCTGAGTTAACAAGTCACACGTGACCATGTCGATGACGACTTACATGAATTTATTCCAGTCATGAGTATTATTTATAGCATGTATGTATTTAAAGTTATATATGTGTAGTGTATCAACTGTCTGGTACCCGTATCACATGTCTCGTAGCTTACCATGTAACTAGATGGTGCTGTGTATTAATGTCCCAACATATTTATTATAACTATATACATTATACATACATATATGATCTAGTATATAATATTTTAATTAAATAATATAACAATTAAATGTTTTATTTCAATGCAAGTTATTTTAAATTGTCTTTAAATAAATGTTATTTATATGATAGGAAAAAATAATAAACTGTACAAAATGTAAAATACTGAAAGTATAAACGTTTTTTGTTTTCAGGGATTCCCTGCTGAATTTTCGATGTATTTAAATTACTGCCGTGGTCTTAATTTCGACGAAGCGCCAGATTATATGTATCTTAGACAGGTTAGTTAATCATTCACTTTTTTTACATATTCCAAAGACTTTAAGATGACATCTTTACATAATCAAGTTGAGAAACTTGAGGTGATTATAACGACAGCTTTATATAAAGACAAGCGACTCACTATCGCTTGCTCACTAGCTTGATTCCCCATACAAACTTTCATCCCCATTTTCACCCTCTTAAAGGATAACCGGAATAAAAAATATCCTATGTCCTTCCCTTGGTCTCAAGTATCTTATCAAATTTCATATAAATCGGTTTGGTAGATCCAGAGATTACCTCCTACAACGTCACAAACTCGCATTCTCACAAACTCACTAAACTTTACCTCTTTATAATATTAGTATAGATATACAATGATTTTTATACTATGTATGTATATATAATTCGGCAGCTATTCCGCATACTGTTCCGCACAATGAACTACCAGTACGACTACACGTTCGACTGGACGATCCTGCGGCAGCGCAAGCAGCAGACCATGGAGGCGGGCGCCGCGCCCGCCGAGCGCCGCTCGCCCGCCGCGCAGCGCCGCGCGCAGCCGCCCGCCACGCCGCAGCCCAATAAGGAGGTACACACGTATATACACTCATACGCATACACGCATGAACACTTACACACATTATTACACACACAAATATGTATATACTTATATTATGCCCATACTCTGCGCGAATTCCGCACACACACCGTACACATACATTTTATATTATATATACATAAAAATTATATAGGGAGTGGCTGGCGTGAATGTGTTGACATGTGTGAATATCGATTTTATATTTAATTAATGCTATGTTATCCCTCGGTGGTCTAGTAATTAGCATGTACGACTGCAGATAACTAGGGTCTAGGTTCGAGTCCCGGGTTGGACCGAGTTTAGTTATTGAGTGGTTCTATCAAGAAATTCTCAGTAATATCCTGTAGTTGAGAAGTTAGCGGTACTTCCCATCTCAGATAGAGAGAGGATCTCAGATCAGATCTCAGAGATTACCGCGAGTATTGGAGTGTAGTCTTGATGAAGTATGAGAGTTAAAGAAATAAAGAGTGCATGTTGTTTATGCACTCTTATTATGTATCCACCAGACTAGGGTGTGTAAGTCACACCCTAATGTGGTGGATAGTCGGAATTCATTGTCTGTTTATGCACCCTGGGCGAGATTTATGGATATTTTCTTGCGCTTAATGCTTCTCGATTATATTGTATGGGGTTATAATGAGCTACTATGATTGAGAATTATGTACACTGTAACTGTGTTTTAGTATACACTGTCAAATGTAAACAATAAAAGTCTATTACCAACATAATAACAAAAAAATATAATAATATTTCATTCCCTTTTACAATAAAAACATTGTTTTATTTTTTAATATCATTGAAGCAGTTGCAATATAATATAGGTAGATAGATAGGGCTGTGGACACAAACAATATAAAAAGGGCATATACAAACAGACGGACAATGCAGCGATCCTATAAGGGTTCCTCTTTTTTGGAAGTCGGTTAACAAAAAAGAAAGGTAAAAAAGAAAGGTTCTCAATTAGTCGGAATATTTTTTTAAGTATGTTCATCGATTACTCGAAGACGCCTGAACCGATTTGATTTTTTTTTGTTTCTGAACAATATACTACCCAGGTGGTCCCATTTAAATTTTATTAAAAATCGATCGAGTGGTTTTTTTAAAAATTTACAAAAAAATTTTTTTTTAAATTACTTAATCGAAAATGTTATTAAAAAACTTTCTTCTTACAAATTACCTGCTTATTACTTCTACACTAAAAATGGAAAAATACAAACTTAAAAAAAAAACGACTTCCAGGTACTAAAATGTAAAAAATAACTAAACGGGGGTCTTCATTTAGAATAGATACTTAACCAGATATTTTTGTATGTGTTGGTACTGCTCTTGTGGTCAAAGTATAGTATATATATATATATATATATATATATATATATATATATATGTGTGTGTTTGGTATGTATGTTAATATTTTTAACCAACTTCCAAAAAGGAGGATGTTCTCAATTCCTTTTAAATCTGATAGGTTGTTTTTTTAATAACTGACTAATTTTCACTATAGTTTGATATATATCTGGTATATACAAATATACCAGATATATACGAGTTATCTCAATATATAGTCGTAAACGATTTTATCTTATAATTGAGGTTTTTTTTACTATTTTAATATAATATAATATTATTTATTGTACCTAAAAACGAAATACAGAAGTTAATTTACGAAATATAAATATATAATAGAGAGTTTTTCGTTAATACATGTAATTTCTAAGGGTATTAACGTGTATGGACGCCTTATTGATCGGTTGGAGGTTGTAAATATTTATTATTTATCTGTGGCAGTGTGTGTTGCAAACGATAGAGTATATAAAAAATATAATATAATTTCAGCAGGCGCCGCAGTCGTCGCTCAACAAAGAGGTACTTATAAAATAAACAAACATACACTTTTATTTATTTATTCATACAATTATTAATATATTAATATTCGCATCTCCTATATTATAGTTTGATCGTTAGAGCTGTACCTGGCATATATGGAAAGGGCTTGTTTACATGAGATCGATACTACAGAGGTCTTATGATGTTTTTTTTTTATATTTATGAAATATATTATATTTATCTATTTGCCTATCAGTCTGTTTATAGAAACATTCAGATACCTTATAAATATAGGTTTTCGTTTTTGATAATATGATAAGTTGAAGCAACAGTAAGATAATTTAATTTTTGTATGTGTTGGTACTGCTCTTGTGGTCAAAGTATAGTATATATTTTGTGGTGGCAGTGTTGGTGTCTCGGACTAAAGAATGAAATAGACAAGAGCGTTAAAGAATTAATGTTGAAGCCAAATAATGTTTTTAAACAATATGTAATGTTTTAAAAACACATGTGTATAATATTTATTACTTTGGTAAGTAAATGAATGTTCTTACAAGACGAAGAGAGAAGAGAACAAATGCTTAACAACATTAAAAAAATCTATTTTTTTATTATTCATTTTTTCTTCTCAATACTTGTAAATTAACGATTATTATCTATATAAAATTTCCCTTATTCTTTAGAAGCAAAACGACCAATATATTATGGCAAATTTGAGAAAAGTAAGAACAGAGTCATACTATTGTTTTGCCTTTGAATTTTTTTTATGGTCTCTGTCTATTCTTTAGTTTGAGTTTGATGTATACCTACAATATCTAATATATACGAGTATTGTATATTATTATAAATTATGTTATGGTTAAAGTAATAAGTATGGTTACTAACAAAATTTATTGTTCTAAATCAAACTGAGTGAACTTATACCATTATAAAAAAATGAATTTACGAATTAAAATAATTTTTATTTCGAATAGAGCAATACTGTTAATTATGAACAGTAAGGTTATTGTTATTTTAACATTTAACCTCTATGAAAATCGGTAATTTTTGGGGTCCCGTACCCGAAGGGTGCCAACGGAACCCTATTACTATTAGAGTTGAAATTTTAACAGAGTGTGTATTTTCTATTGCCTCTATAACAACAAATAATAAAAAACCAAGATGGCAAATTTCAAAAAGGCTGCCATGGAAATTAAAAAAAAAACAATTATGGTACGGTATTTTTATTAATTTCCAGTTTATCACATTAACCGTAACATGTGTAAATTGATTTTATGTAATATAAGATTTACTATGGTCACCATACTGCTACCATGCTCATTCATTTTCACATCTCACAGTCGCTACACACACTGCCACCACATAATGTCATCCATTTTGAATTTGTTGCAAACAGATTTATTGCAAATAGTTAATTTCAATGCATGCCTTTGGCAAATGTTTTCGTTTTAAATTAGGACTTACTTTATTTTGAAAAGTTTTGTTTGCTTTATAAATGTAAAGCTTTTAAAATATCTGCTTATTCAATGAAATTTAGCTCGAACATTCTACTTAAAGTTGAATTTATGCCAAAAATGAATTCCTAAATGTTATTATGTAAGAAAAATTTGAGAACAGTTGTATGGACTTGCTGACTTTTTCTTTTACCATTTATTTTTTAGGATTGAGACGTTTTGATTTCAAAATGATGTATTTAAATAATAATATAGAATATATGTGCTTAAAATTAGGTACAATTACATTCAATTCAATTCTCTTTTTAATGGCTCCAAAGCGTGCCAGTTGAGCACAGATTACTTCCCCAATGTCACGTAGAACGGAAAAGAGAAAACATTAGGTTTCTTTAGTTTAACTGATAATATTAATTAGTGTTGCCATAAAGCAGATTTTAACTTATTTTCATTTAAATTCAGGTAAAATCCGTTAATGCTGTGGCCGATTCAAATAAACAAGTAATTAAAACTCGCCAATCTGTTAGTCAATTAAAGAAGAAAGCCTTATAAGCCTTATATTAGGAGATCCCGATCTATGTTGTGGATCCCTCACGCGTTTTCCACGCGAAATATATTTTTTAAACCATAAAACATATTAACAAACACGACCAAGGGGGGTTGTCACCAAAAATTTGCTCCAGCCTATTATTAATTGTTTTTTTTTAAAGTACAAGATTTTTTTCCCTGTGGCAACTTAGTATCAATCGAATGTTAAATACTTGTAGAAAGTGCCATCATGTAGTTGGCGGCCTTTTTCAAATACGCTTCTTCTTCTTCCTGCCCTTGTCCCAATTTTTATTTGGAGTCGGCGCAATATGTTTTATTCTTCCATTCTACTCTATTATTCGTCATTTCACTGCTTACTCCCTTTCTAGTCATATCTTCTTCTACACAGTCCATCCATCTTTTCTTTGGTCGTCCTCTTCTCTTGTCCCCGTTAACTTCCATACACAAAACTCTTTTCACCACACTTTGCTCTTCCCTCCGCATCACATGTCCATACCACGATAACCTATTGCTTCTCAACTTTTCATCCACTGGCTTTTCAAATACACATTACCTGAAATCCAGGTATAAATTGAAGTAGTTTTCAAATTGCTCGTATTGGATAGTATTTTCCGAAACTAACCAAGTATCAAAATGTAGATAATTTTATTACAAATTAATGATATAGGGTTGTTATACTAAAACATCTAAAGACAAGAGATTTTTTTAATTTAATTTTTGGTGACAATCCCACTGGTTTGTGTTTGTTGATATGTTTTAATGTTTAGAAAATATATTTCGCCTGGAAAAAGTGAGGGTTCCACCACATAGATCGGGATCTTAAACTATTAGTACACATATTGCATAGGAATCTGTTGAGAAATTCTCCATTGTAAGAACTTAGTATTTGAAGTTTCTCAAAGTAAATTTACTATGACATTTTTGATAAAATCTTTAGTTGTCTGTGGATGTCAAAAAGTAGTCTAGCTTTTTAAATATTTCTTTGTTGCCAGATTAAAATAATGCTTTCTCATTTATTTAATGATTTGTGTTTGTTTTTTTTTTAATTTTTGTGATAATGTTCTAGTTTATTATTAATTGAATAAATATTATAATTGTTTATGTCAATTGTTCTTAGTAAAAGGCGCATTTCTCAAGAAGCATTTGATATGCTATCATTATCATTTTATTATGTTTTTAAAATATTAAACTTGTATGTTAATAAAATTAAAGGGTCGTAATGAGTTTGTAGTAGTTAGTATATTTGAATAAAATTGTATAAAGAAATAATTAATAAGGTTTTGAGAAAGAAGTTCATGTTTTATTTAATTAAAAATAATATTAATTAATATTATGTTCGTGCGTTACAAAGATGATAATTTAAAAATATCAGCAATAAGAGATTTCAGTTACATCATTTAGCTAGGAATTTTTAATAATTTTATGACCTACATTGACGCATTTGTCACAGAATTAAAAAATATTGTCATTTGACTGGATGACAGGTCACGGGTATAGTTATTTCAAATGTCAGTATTAAATTTATTATTTTATTTAAAACAGATTTAAATAGAGAATTTATAGAACTAATTTTCATGAATCATTATATATTATTGTCATTTTAACATCGTAGATCTTCATGTATCCACCCATCAGTTCATTTTATCTGAGAAGTAACCAGAGTTTAATTTCACGTAGATGTTATTATAAAAACAAGCAATATTTGTAAATTTACTAACGTGTTGTTTGATTGTTTTCAGTGAAAGAGATTGCGACGTTCGACAGCCGCGGGCGGACCGGCCAGGAAGCGTGTTCGATGACGTGTGCCTGTCGCGTGTCCGTGTGTGCGTGTGTACGTGTGTGCGTGTGTGCGCGTCGGGCTCGCCTGCCAGCTGCCGGCATCGACTCGTGACGTGACATGTCACCGCGCGTGACGTGACCCGTCATTGCATGTGACGTGACCTGTCAACGCGCGTGACGTGACCTGTCATCGCATACGACGTCACCCCGTCGGTGACGTGACCCATCATCGCATGTGACGTGATCTGTCACCGCACGTGACGTCACCCAGTCGGTGACGCCGGTCGGATGTCACGCGACGAGTCGAAGCTCTACAGACTTTCTATTACAGAGGCCTTTTAAGTTACGTTCATAATAGTTAATAGTGTCCGTGGCGGTCGTCGCGTTTTATTTAACGAGAGTGTGTAAAACTCAAGTCACTGATTCTTCTGTGTTCACAGATAAATAAAAAGTTGGTATTTTTGTTCATATTATATTGATTATTTTGGTATCATCCAATGGAAAGCATGTGTTGGCAATATGGATGAAGTGGGTGTATGAATTGAATGTTGTTGTAAGTTTTTGAATTGGTAAAATAAATGTCACTGATTAGATAATAGAGTTTACATTACAATGCTTCATATTTGAGACCATTCATACTAATAATAATTATAGCTAATGTTTTCTCTGTCGTATTAATTTAATAGAAATAATTTATTTTCGATGCCACTCATTGTTAGTTTGCCTAATTAGCACTAGCTCTGTAATTTTCATAGTTTTATATCATTTTAATATTTTACAGGGGGATTTATTTTCTTAAACAACTCCTTGTAAGTTAATTTTCTAAACGTTCGTTTAATTTTTTCGACGGTCTAATTTGAATGTTCGGTAACATCTTATTAAAATACTGATTTACTAGTGAAATAGGTTTCTGTATTGAAAATTGAAAATGTCAAAAAAAGGAAGAGAAATTATAGGTTAGTAAGAAACTTAATTCAATCTCTTCAGACGCTTCGTAGGATCCTTTTCGATAGATATATAATATAAAATAGTTTTTTTTTATTGTTCGTAAAATCATATTCATATTGAAATTGTACATAGGCCGGTGGGACGAAGCGTCGGTAGAGATGTTGGTACATGATTGTATCTTATATTTTAAGTACTACAGATAAAAGAAATTGTAAATATGGGCTATAGGCATTTTACCTCTATTTTAAGAACACGTTTTTTTGATTTGTACCACAGCGATTCGTGGCACCCAAAACAACTAACCGCCCGCTG